TCTTTACAACATGCCTTTATTATTGGGGATGCATCAATACGGATACTGATATTGGGCCAGTACTGTGCTCTTTTACTCGTATTTAAAATCACTGATACCAACATTCAGATACCAGCTGACACCCTGTGACGTAAGCCGAGCTGGAAGTCAGATTCTTCTTTGAATCGTCCCGTTCTACCTTAAAGGATGCAGCTGTTACATTCTGGAGCCCCAGGCATCATTTAAGGTGGAACGGAAAAATTCTAAAAAGAAGCTGGCCAATGAGAAGCTGACCTCAGCCTCAATTTAGAGGAAACTGTTCCACTTTTAAGGAAAAGTTTCCTGCCGGAGATGCGAGAAAAGCAGCTATAACTTAGCTAGAGCTTAAAGCAGAGCAAAGTAAGTATTCATTCATACAATTTTTTAGCCTATACTAGTACATCAGCACATACTGAGACATATTTACAGCCAAGATGGTAAAATGGACGTAAAATGTTGTGGCTCCCAAGGAGGTTTGATTTTTGTTGAAAGGAAAAAATGAGTCTTCTTAACATTTGGGTTGCGACCCCTGGGCTAGCCAAACGGAGGCGAAAAAGAAAAGTCGACATTTGCGACTGAGGCCTGTTTATGTGACTGTACTCTGTGTAACTGAACAAAATAGCGAGGTATAAACTAGGGCTGAACGATTTCAGCGAAATATATCTAATCACGACCAATATTGCGATTGCGATTTTAATTGTTTTCTATAAATTAAGCTATGGGCCTTTTTTGGCTAAAATGACCAGAGTATACCTTTTCTGGCTTGAGGCTTCAGAATTTCTTGTCTTTCTGTGGGGAGGGCGCTCAGACAAGACGACAGGGAAAACAGAGAGTATAAAACACACAGCAAGTTTCGGCTACGAATAGAAACTCTAACTCCCAGATCTCCTCAGAGATCACGACACAAACAGAGCTAAACTTACTGGACCTGTTTGTGCTTTTATGTGCAGCGCAAGTGTAAACTGGAGGTTAATATGGGTTGAGAAGCGCTGATACAGTGAGAGCTGGAGAAATACTTCACTGCGAACTGGCAGCTGAGCTGAAACTGTAAAGAGTGTTTTGACGTCTGGATCCAACGTTATAACCATGATAACGGCTCTTATCTACCTGTGTTTTATACACAGCTCCTCTGTCTCCGCTCCGCTGTTCAAACGGTGTTCATGTATGCCTTTTTCTCCACTCTTCTAGCTCTCTGATTGGCTGTTCGAATCATTCATTGAGTAAATCTCTGGCCTTCTCACACTACAGGACTTATTTACAACTCAAAACGTTCACATCAAACATGTTTGATAAAATCAGAGGGTTTCCAATCCTTTCAGGGTTTAATCGGAGGGCTAAAGATTCACTCATTTCTCCTCTCACACTGTTAGATCATCCGTGCCGCCATTCGCTCCTGATCGAGCTCCTGACCTATAAAATCGCTTCAGACTGGGAAAATTTGCCACAAGGGGCAAATCGAGGTTAAAACCGAGCAAAAAAATTTGTAGTGTAGGCCCAGCCTAACACACTGTGCCAGCCTGCCAGTTATTTGTGGCTGTGATGTCACAGCACATGGATGTTTGGTTGCTTCTGATTAGCTGAAGCTCCATGTTATTAGGTTGAATCTCCCTACTTAAAACTTACAACGTATCAGTGTTGTTGATAATAGACTGTAATAACACTATAATAAAAATTGCAGCTCTTGCGATTTGAAAATTGCGCTCTTTCAAATTACGATTCCAATATAAAACTGATACATCTTTCAGCTCTAATGTAAACATTAATACAGTGTTTTTAATTTGTCTTTGCAAAATAGGCTGTCGGTGTATATTTCTCAGCATGTTTGCTCAGTACTTGGAAGCGGAGCGGTATTTTGAATGAAACAGTTTTATTGATGTTTGTAGGGGCTGCATGTGAAAAAGACGTTTTCGTACAGTGTGAGTACATAAATGTAGCCTTTGTCTGTATGGGACGAAATATTTAAACGTGGTGTGAGCCACTAAAGAACAAGATTTCTAAAATCGCACAGTCTATGTCTGACTTTAGCGGACATTCGATCACAGTTTAACGAGCCAATCGAAAGTCTTCAGATGTATTAGCCTCGGATGTGGCTCCTGCTGTCGCTGTGCTGTTGTTGAGGATCAAAACTATGAAATGTACTTTACTTACAGCTGTATAGAAGCGCTTTTCTGATGTGGAACAAAACTCGCAATGCTACTCAATCTAACTAATGTTACATAGCTAATGCACATCATTTAAAATCAAACAGATTTTAATGATTGCAATGTAACGGTTTAAGCATTTACCTACTTACCAACTACTTTGTTCTAAGTAGGTTAATCAGTATGGCATCAGCGAATGTTAAAAACGTACTCGTGAAAAAAAATGGTATAGATGCATCCCTTATTATTATAATAATGATAAAAATCAAATGCATTAACACAAATCCATGCACTTACTTTAATGCCCATCCTTTCCATTTAACCAGATATTCAATGCGACCCTGCAGAAAAAGGGAACAACAGTTAACGGTGCAATAAACGATGCACAGCAATGCATGTTAACACTTATAGCCTTGCAGTTATTGCGAGTAGCCTGGTGTGTATTCTGCTCTTTGCACCATGCAACATTTTGCAATGCTCCTAATCTGCACACAACACGCTTGCAGCCGCTGCAGCCAGTTATGCATCGCGCAGAAAAGCATGCAAGGCAGCACACATCCATTCTGACATGGCTGCACGCCCCCCCTCTCGTGCATTTCGTTTATCTTTAAGGATGCAACAAACGACGCGGGCGATTAAACTAGAAAAGCATCGTGCACGCGCGCATTCGTATGTATATATGTGTTTTTGCTGTTGCACTGCGGTTTGCACGGCTAAATATGGACGGCTAGTGGCCGAGCTGCGAGTAGTAGGCCTCCCTCCTTCCTTCCCACCCCCCTTCTTTCACCCCTCCACCCTCCCTCCCTGTTTTTTTTTCCCTCCACCGTCCTCGTAGCCTCGCGCTCGGCGATCAAAAAGCCGCCCGTCCGCGCTACTCGCGCTCCTCACTTTCCGCACGCGCCGCTTCAGGATGGCTTCGGCGGCGAACACGCGGTCTCCCATGGCCGAAAGCTCCATCTCTGATCCTGATCCAGGGAGCTCCGAGCCCGCTCCGCCACCGCCTCCACCTCCGCTCCTGCTCCGGCTCCTGCGCTACTCCTCCCCGCCGTCTGGTCGTCGGCGACTCCGCTTCGGCAAGAAAAAAAACCGACAGCGGCAGCAGCGGGAGCAAAACAGCACGGGCTGCCGAAGAACCGACTCGTCAAAGAATCGCTCTGGCGAGCCGTTTCTTTGCAGTGAATCAATCGAACCGATTCGTACCGAGCCCTTAAGGTAACTACATGGAGGTCACAATTTACTATATTGAGGCTATAGATTACTATATTACTGCCACAAATGAATATATTAAGGCCACAATTTGCTATATTGAGGAAACAACTTAATATATCGAGGCCACTAGTTACTTAATATATCGAGGCCACTAGTTGCTATATTGAGGCCACAAATTATTGTATTGAGGATGCAAATTATTATAATGAGGCCACAAATTACTATATTGAAGCTAGAAATTAATATAATAATGAGGACACAAATTACTATATTGAGGCTACAAATTAATATATTGAGGCCACAAATATCATATTGAGGTTACAAATGAATATAATGAGGCCACAAACTACTATATTGAGGCCACAAATTACTATGTTGAGGACAAAAATTATTATATTAAGGGTACAAATTATATATTCCAAATTTGAGGCCACAAATATATTGAATATATACTATATTGAGGCCACAAATTACTGTATTGAGACCATGAATTATTATATAGTGGCCCCAATTTACTATGCACGCCTTATAAACACATAATCAGAGCTTCTGTAGATTCAAATGTGCTGGTGGAATGACACCTTTTCGTGGTGCCTATGCTAATGTTAGCCAAATTCAAATCAATTTTTTTCACACAGATTAGTCATAAAATCGCATAATGATATTTTAAGACTGTAAGAATGTGTCATTTTAATTCACTTACATTTTCTCTCCGTAGTCCCTGTACAATGTTTATGTTTAATAGGCTGAAAGCTCATAAAATTGTAAAATACCAAGGGGATTTTAAACCAGTCTGTTGAATTATTTCTGTGGCCAAAGGATGCTAATGAAATTCAAATGTGCAGTGGTCCAATGAATCAGTGAATCGTTGGAATCATTGAAAGGGTCAGTTGAAAAGGAATCGATTCGATAAACTGAATCGAACTCAGCTATCACTAGCCGCGGGAGAGAACTGGAGTCACGTGTCGCATCGTCCAGTCAGCCCCTCTTAGCAACGGGGGAGACCCAAATACCAACAACATAAACATACATAACAAGCATTTAATCATAATCTAGTACCTAAATAAAGATGAAAATGATGATAATGTAATAGTGTATCTTACCGGTTAAAATTGCTTTTAACATCTGTAATTGGTGAAAAATTCTGTGTGAAACTGTGTTTAGTGTGTTGTACAGTCCTTAATATATTAGACTTCATTCTGCAGAAAACATTTTTATATATTTATATTTTTTAAAAAACATCGTGCACAGGCTTCGCATCATTAAAGAAGAGTGGCATGAGACTTTTATTTTGTCAAAAATATTAGCTTGCTAGCTAGTTTTGCAAGGAATTTAAGATCTTAATCTGAATTTCGGTAAAAAAAAAACATCAACAGGCGTGTGCGATATACTTTATACATCTTGCTGTATTTTTTAAAAGTTGGAGGATATTTATTTGCGGCTAAAAGAGTGAAAATTCATGGCTCATGTCAATGCTAGCTAACGTTAATTGTATCTGCTGAAAAAGCAGAGGATGCTCTCCTGTGGTCCCGCCTTCTACACCACACAAACGCGCCGATGATTGGCGGAGGGGGCGTAACGAGAGCCCGTCCTCGTAGCTCATTGGGTCCTACGCACGTCCGTCAAACGTGATGCTGGTTCGGTTGAAGTGGTTGTTGATGTCCCGTCAAAAAGTCAGAGGGGGGTCAGTCGGAGAGGCTCAGCGGCTTAAAGCGGAACGGCTGAGGATTCGGAATTAAGGTAAAACTATTAACAAGATAACAACGCGATATATTATCTGTGTATTTTCAGAGGAAGCGAAAGTGTATCTTAACGAGCGAAGGCATCAGCAGGGAATTTTGAACTCACGAGGCTGACGTTTGCTTCTGGTTCCAATTATCCCGTTCCACCTTAAATGATGCAGCAGTCACGTTCTGGGTCGCCGGAATGTAATGTAGCTGCTGCACCATTTAAGGTGGAACGGGAAAATTCGAATAAGACGCTAACTTCAGCTTCGTTTTGAGCCCGGTGTTGGCGGCTGAGGCGGACTGTTTTCTGTGTCATGAGTGAGTTCAGTGGGAGTCAGCGTGTTTAGGGAGGACGGAACGAAAACGGGGCAAATTTTCCTATAATGTCGAGCGGGACATTGTTATGGTTTCTCTGGCTTTATATAACTCGACCACGTAGGCTGTCCGGGCAGCACTTTCGGTTTTTAGAATGACTTCGGTCACTCCTTATCAAAATTAAGGCAACGCGAAAACCTGTTTGGCGACCCGTAGTTGTAGTTCATCGTTATCCCATTTGTAGTCAATTTACAGGCAGCTGTTTGCAGTAGTGGAGTCAAATAAGGGCCTTTAGCTCACTGACCTCAGTCTGCTGCACACCTCATCTCCAGTCCACTGTATTTTAAGTAAAGGGACATTCTGGCCAAAGTAAAGGGATAACCATTGGTAAAGCTACTGTAAACAAGCCTACTTGTCCCCTAAAGTGATGCTAAGTCGTCTCTAGAGCAGGAGTGTCCAAACTTTGTTCAAAGAGGGCCAGATCAGTCCAAACCACGTCAAAATACCCGAGGGCTGAAACAATCACAAATGATTCAAAAATTATTCTCTTTTTAATATGAAGACTGTAGCGAGCAGTCAGTCGAACTGAGGGTCACTGAGGGTCAAAAATAATTTGGCAATGACCCTTTAAACTCATATAAATCTACCAGAGAAGTTATGGGCTGTGCATGTCCACGCTGGTCAGTCAATCTCATCAGCGTGTAGAATCAGAGCTTTGAGCTACTGTGTTTCCTATCACTTTGCGAAAGATTCACAAGGCTTCTTTTATCACTGGGTTCCTCATTCATAGTTGTATGGGTAACAACAACAACAATGAAACAGGACTAATGTGTTAAGTATATTCCCATTCAAGTGCTTACTTGTCAAAATATTCAATTCGTGAGACAAACTAAAATGTTCGGTCATGTTCTTTATATGTCAAACAAATGCAGCATTTCAGAAATCACTTAATTAAACGCGTGGAGCAGATAAAACAGCGTAAATAGCCACGTTTTTGTTCGGCCTAAAAGGGTTAGTATTTACTGAACCACCGAATTTGATCTGATCGGAAGTTGGTGCTGTGAGATTAGGCATTATTATGATGTCCATGCTTTGTTTCATGGATATTGATATTAAATTTATCATATCCTTTTGAAATATGGGGCACATGCATTTCCATCTCGCCTGAATCGCTGGTTCTCGGTGTTAAGTTTGTGCTTTATAGCTGTAGTCTTGACTAAATGTTGTTCAGTAAAGCTCAGAGAAGAAAGGCTCTTAAACTTTAGCTAACTTCATTAACACAGTGCGTCGTGTTACACTATAATTTTACAGTAATGCTACCACCTTCAGGTGAAAGGACGAACTGGGGTGTACAAGCTGGCGGGCCACTTAACATTAAATGCTAGTTTTAGGGCAGAATTTCCCTTTAAGTAGTGATTTAAAGGGAGATTCCATCCATTTTTCTCTATAATTCAATCACTGAGATGTAAACAAAGTGATTCAGAGTGGTTTGTTGTGAAATGGTTCATTATACAGATGTATTTACAGTGGTGGTGATAGGAACCAGGGGTCACCATGTCTACATCACAAATATAGCCATTTTATTTATAATCCAAAACCACCAGTGACACTACATGTGTTTATCTATTTTGCCTTACATCACCCTGCATGTACCCGTCTGCCATGAGCGTGCTTTAAAAAATGCATTGTAGCATTTTACATCAAACCACTCTGAATAACTTTTAGATCTTAACTATTTAAAATTGGATGGAATTTAGTTAATAGCCTTGCACTGTACAGGTGAGTAGTCCGAAAAACAGCCCGAGTAGTCGTCACTCACCCTCCTCTGTTGGTCTTCTGTATCTCTCAATCCAGGTCAGAATGCAGTTCCTGGGCCGATTTTTGGACACGGTCACCTCCGTATCCAACCTGTTCACCAACCCGTACCGGGTGCGGGAGGTGCAGCTGTCAGAGTATGGTGGCAAAGTGAGGCTCAAGCAGGAGGGGAGGATGTTGCTGTACAGGAACATGTCCAGTCAGTCCTGGGACTGCGTGCTGCTCTTACCTGAAAGCTCATCCATGGCACTGAGGTGAGTGTCAGACTTAAACCAGCCAGGAGGAGCTCTGGAAAGATCTTATTCTATGCTATATGCAAAATATAGAGCTTTGAATTTATTTCAGATGTGTCAGTCAGTTGCACATGGATGTGTTACAGTTGTAATGTAACATTTTATTAAACAAATGCAGTGTGCAACCAACTCACGCGTTTGAATCATGCAAATACAAAGCACCATTTTCTCAAAGTGCTCTCTGCCAAAACAATACGGTGACCGAAAAAACATTGTCTCATCGTCTGAACCGCCTGTTTATTGGATTGAACATGGAAAAATATTCAAATTGTTACAGCTTAATCACTTCAAAGGGGCTTTCTGGCTTAAAACTACAAACCTAATTCTAAAAAAGTTGGGCCAGTAGGTAAAGTGCAAATAAAAACAGAAAGCAGTGACCACCTCCTTGTTTCTACGCTCGTTGTCCATTTTATCAGCTCCACTTACTGTATAGGTGCACTTTGTAGTTCTACAGTTACAGACTGTAGTCCATCTGTTTCTCTGCATACTTTGTTACCCTGTTCTTCAGTGGTCAGGACCCCCATGGACCCTCACAGAGCAGGTACTGTTTGGGTGGTGGATCATTCTCAGCACTGCAGTAACACTGACGTGGTGGTGGTGGTGGTGTGTTAGTGTGTGTTGTGCTGGTGTGAGTGGATCAGACACAGCAGTGCTGCTGGAGTTTTTAAACACTGTGTCCACTCACTGTCCACTCTATTAGACACTCCTACCTTGTCAGTCCACCTTGGAGATGTAAAGTCAGAGACGACAGCTCATCTGCTGCTGCACAGTTTGTGTTGGTCATCCTTTAGTCCTTCATCAGTGGTCACAGGACGCTGCCCACAGGACGCTGTTGGCTGGATATTTTTGGTTGGTGGACTATTCTCAGTCCAGCAGCGACACTGAGGTGTTTAAAAACTCCAGCAGCTCTGCTGTGTCTGATCCACTCAGACCAGCACAACACACACTAACACACCACCACCACCACCACGTCAGTGTTACTGCAGTGCTGAGAATGATCCACCACCCAAACAGTACCTGCTCTGTGAGGGTCCATGGGGGTCCTGACCACTGAAGAACAGGGTAACAAAGTATGCAGAGAAACAGATGGACTACAGTCTGTAACTGTAGAACTACAAAGTGCACCTATATAGTAAGTGGAGCTGATAAAATGGACAATGAGTGTAGAAACAGGGAGGTGGTCATGATGTTGTGCCTGATCGGTGTATGTTTGGATATAAAAAGAACATCCAGGAAAGGCCTCGTCCTTTGTGAGCTATGATGAGTTGAAGCTCGGCACTTTGGCAAAAATGCATTAGCAAATAGTCCAACTATTTAAATAACAATGGGCCTCATTCACCAGCCGTTCTTAAGAATAAATTTCTTCTTAAAACCTACTTACATGGTTTTCACAAAGATTCTGACATTCACTGATGTTTTGTTAAATGGGATTTGTTCTTAGGTAAGAACAGAATTTATACACACTCACTTAAAAGCATTTTAACAACACAAAAGTATAACAATTCTGCGGTTTAAGAACATGTTGTGAATCTGATGTAGACGATATCTTGGGACCTTTCTCAAGAACACATCAAAGAAAAAAAGAAGTTTTGTAACTAGGAAGTATTTTATCCTAAATGTGTAATATTAGAAGATTCACGGAATCCATAGAAAACTTTGTGCATAAAAAAAGGCAGAAAACTACAAATGAATGCGTGTGACCTTTGATCCCTCAGATCGCATTGCTTTAAAAACCAGCATGTTTCTGTGATGGATATCACCGCATCAGTTTGGGAATACTGTTGTCAACGAACATTATCTGTCACTGCATCCACAAACGTATGTAAACACTATGCTATGCACAGCAGAAGTCACAGCATCCAGAAACGCTGCCAACTTCTCTGGGTTCAAGCTCATCTGAAATGGACAGATGCACCGTGGAAACGTGTATTGTGGTCCGACAAGTCAACCCTGTTGTTTATTGTTGTTGAACAAACTTAATTGTTTGTGTAAATAATGGATGTCGACTTCTCCGGGCCAAAGAAGAAATGGACCGTCCACTTTGTTAGTGTAAATTTCAAAAGTCAGTGTCTGTTGTGGTATGGGGAGGTATTAGTGGGTAACCTGCACATCTGTGAAGGTACCATTAAAGTGAAACATATTTTGGAGCAACATCTGCTTCCTTCTTCACTTTTTCAGAGACACCCACACTTATTTCAACATGGCAACACCAAACCACATTCTGCATTTGTCACAACAGCATGCCTGAGTAATCAGAGAGTGCGGGTGCCTGCAGTCCAGAACAGTCTACTAATGAAAACATGGCTTGTTAAGCTCAGAATATGATAGCAAAGCTAGCACAGCTGAAGACCTGTATAACAGACAAATGGCAAAAAAATTCTGCTTTCAAAACTGGATCAATTGGTCTCTTCAGACCCTAAATGTTTATTAAGTGCTGTTAAAAGAAAAGGTGATGTAACACAGCGGTAAACATGCTTTTATCTTAACATTTTTACAACATGTTGCAGGCCTCAAATTTGGAATGAGCAAATATTTCCAAAATCAAAGAAGTTCATAAGGTAAAACATAAAATATGTACTGTTTTTCAATTAAACAGAAATTAATTAGTGCTTTCTGTTTTTGCTAGTATTACACAAGCTGTTCCAACTTTTTCGGAATTGGGTTTGTGGCGTTTAATATGTAATTTGTCTTGTATATATAATATTCTGTAGCTCAGCATTGCATCCCTCAGCCTCATCAGTTTGCCAGAATTCACAGTTTTCTGTTTTTGTCCATGTTCTCAGCCTGCATTATGCAAATACTCATGCAACCATTGGAAATCTCCAATAAAATAGTCCACTGATGTTCTAACGCTTCCCAGCAGTATTAGCTATCTGGCTTCCTTCTGCTTTAGCCAACAGCTCACCTGCAGAAATCTACTAAAAACACACAGTTTTTCAAAAGGTCCTCCCACTTCCAAAATGCATCGTCAGAAGGTGGTCTTCCTTGCCTTTAAAGTGGAAAATCTCACTCTTAAGACTATTGTGGTGCAGCGTATGAGGTGATTAGATGTGTTTACAACAGGTGTAGCAGTGGTTATATTTTCATTTTGACTGGAGCGCCCCTTTAACATCTCAATTATCAGATGGTTTTTATTAATAGAAAAATCTTCAAATGCTAAATAATCACATAAGTAATTAAATCATGTAAGTACAGCATGTGCAAGAAAGAAAACCAGTGAAATGAGAAAAGTCAGTGCAATAAAATAGATACAATGCTTTTGATTTTAGTTTTTGCTTTTTGATAAATTAGCGAAAATTTCTAAAATTCTGTTTTCACTTTGTCGTTATGGGGTATTGGGCACAGAATGATGGGAAAAAACATGATTTTTTTTTATTTAATTTAGCACAAGGCCGCAACATAACAAAATGTGAAAAAAATGAAAGGGTTTGAAGACTTTCCAAATGCATTGTACATTGTGCAGCACTGTTCTGAAATGCTTGCGAATACCATTTACTATCAAAAACATTCACATTCGGAAACACTTGCACACATCTGCAGAGTTTTTCCTCACCTCGGGTCTGTTTTAGTGTTGCCTTAACCACAGGCTGGTGGTTTTGCAGCATAGATGCTATGAAAATAAGTTCTGCTGTGTTACTTCCCCCACATAAGTCAGCTAATGTTAGTCTGGTTGAGAAGAATTGATCTTCTGAAGCAAGCATTAATAATCATTTTGAGTAAGGGGTTTGTTCACACTGCAGGGCATATCAGATTTGTTTCTTGTGTCTGACTTTCTGGACTGTTTAGACCTGACCAAATCTGATTTGGGTGGTCAGACTGCAGTTGCGTTTCTACATTATTTGCCGTAGTAATGATGCACACATGCATATGCTATCTGGGAAGGGACAAAAGTTAGCGAACCGAACAAAGATAGCTAGCTAATAGAATAATTACATTTCACAAGAACGTTTCACTTTTTATTAACTACAGCGTATAAAGTCACATGTCCGAAAATCTGTTTTGAATCAGCTTCGAAACCACCTTCAAATGGGGCTTGAATCTGATGAGAAAAGAGTGCTGAAGATTTGGGCTGCCTGTCTGAACAAGGCCTAAGAGTGCTGATCTGGGATCAGGTTTTGCCTTTGTCCTTTGTTTCGATCAGAAGGACAGATCAGAAGTGCCCAAAAGTCTGGCTTTACACAGTGAAACTTTCATGCAACTAGTTGCATTTTGTGAGTTGCCTGCAACATAATTTCAAAAGCAAAAGCAACTAAAAAATAATTAATGCCGCATGCCAGACATTCAGTAATGCTACTGAACTAGTAATACTACTCCACTAGTTAGCCAAATTAGCAGCTTGTATTTTGTGATGCACCTGCAAGTTACTCGAGTTCTCTCACTGCATCCACAAAGCCAAGTTAAGTCTGTACTATGCATAGTGGAAGCTATATGTCAACAACGTCCAGAAACGCAGCTGACTTCTCTGGTCTTTTGTTTTGATCAAAAGGACATGGCCAGGTCTGACTCAAGATCAGGGCTGCGCAAATTGCCCAAAAGTCTGGCTTTACACAGTGAAACTTTTATGCAACTAGTTGCATGTTGTGAGTTGCCTGCAACCTAATCTCAAAATCAAAAGCAACAAAAAAATTATCAATGCTGCATGCCTGATATTCAGTAACTCCACTAGTTAGCCAAATTAGCAGCTTGTATTTTTTGATGCACCTGCAACTTACTCGAGTTCTCTCACTGTAAAGTCAAAGCTTTGAAGTTTTTTGTCCACTGATTCTGTAAAATCAATAGTTTCAAAGTACGTTGTTTGACGTGATCACATGATTTGTTATCGGCATTTTGGTTGGCTTCATTCCACGAAGTTGAGATGTTTGCAGCTGTTGCGGCTGAGTTTCAAGTGAGTTGTCTTTACATTAGGAATCGTAACATTAAACTCCAGCAAGTTAGTTTCATGTAGATTTCAAGCAACTAAAGTTTTATAAAAGTTTCACCAGGATGTAATTGGGATTTTAAGGGGTTTAACAAACAATATATTGTGCAATCCTACTTTATACTGTTCAAAAGTGTGGAATTACGTGCCAGATTATTGATTTTTACAATATTACATACAGCAATAACTGAAGCAGTGTGGATGTAAATAGTACATACTATTCACCAAAAGGTATTTTTAAGTTTTATTCAATATTTTAAGAATTCTGTGAGCAAGAGGTGGATAAATGCATAAATAAAATAATATACTGTAATGATCTATTTGCATGAATGTTGGTCAACATATCTATCTTAATATTTAAAATATGCTTAATTCCTTTTATTATATCTTCGTTCTCAACATTATCCAGCTTTTTTAGTTATTTTAGAATGATATATGGCTTCGTTCCCATTATTAGGTTTCACTTACAGCTTCCTAATGTCCTACTAATGATTTGCAAGCTGAAAATCTGAACAAGATGAGCATTATTAGAATAATCTTATACATTTATCTGCAACCAAATAGGTTTTATACTGAACGTTAGTGTGTGCTTTGCTCCAGTGTAGTGGACAGTGGATGGGCTGCTTCCCATTGATTACATTATGACTGACGGATTGAGGTTGTGACACTCTCAGCTGGACTGAATAGATTTTTAGCTTTGTTGTTTTTGTCATTCCCAAAGTGCCTGTGTCAGTCACAAGACTGCTGCGCTCTGTTCTTTTAGGCTTATCACACCACTCTTACAAAAGCTCCTTGTTCTGTCAGAACTGAAGTGCTGTGTAGGTCCTTATTCAGTCTGGCCATGAGGAAACACCCACAGTCCAGCCTGAGGTATGCCTGAGATATGAACTAGTGGGGCCTACAAAGGAGGGATGGTATATCAGACTGATATTTGACGACATATTGATTGTAAAATGTTATGTTTCTCCATAATGCTAATCTAGGTGGATGCAGCTCCAATTGTTACGTTTTACAAAGTCCATATATCACTGTATTTAACAGCGGTATATACTGTTGGCAGCACTGCTGTGTCTGATCCACTCAGACCAGCGCAGCACACACTAACACACCACTGGCAGGCCCAAAGTTTTATTACACACTTCCATAACCTAAGAATAGCTTAGCCAGTTTGCATAGAAGTCCCTGTAGTTACTGAATAATAAGCCTTAGTCTGTAATAAGTCTGGGATTTTAAGGAGTTAATTTCTATTCAAATGCTACAAGTATCTGTTTACAGTAGAGCACTAAAGCTGGACACCTGAGGTTTATGGCTAGTATTGGGATTATTTGGATGGTGAAAAGCAGAAAATTCAGAACCAACGTCTAAGACTAAATTTTGGAGGTGTGGAAAAGTATCCCTCCAGATTACAAACCCAATTCCAAAAAAGTTGGGACAGTAGGTAAAGTGCTAATAAAAACAGAATGCAGTGCTTTTTACATCTACTTTCATCTCTATTTAAACAAAAACAGTACAAAGTCAAGTTATGTAATGTTTATCCTAACAAGTTCATTGAATTTTTGTAAATATATGCTCATTCTAAAATTAATGCCTGCAGCATATTCCAAAAGGTTGGGACAAGTGCAGTTTAAGGCTAGGAACACTGTGAAATGTTCAAACATGTCTTAAACAGGTGATGCAGTCATACTCAGATAGGATAATAGGAGCATCCAGGAAAGGCAGAGTCCTTTATGAGCAAGGATAGTCAAGGCTCACCACTTTGCCAAAAATGCATAAGCCAAAACCTCTAACAGTTTAAAAAAAAACATTCCTCACCCAGGGATTGCAAGAATTTTTGTTTTGTTAGTGGGTGACTTGCACATCTGTGAAAGCACCAATAATGCTGAACGCATTTTTAAGCAACACATGCTGCCTTTTAGGGAGGTCCATGCTTATTTCAACAAGACAGCACCAAGCCACATTCTACACATGTTACAACAGAATGGCTGTGTAATCAGAGCTACGGTTGTCTGCCTGGAAATGTTGTATTATTAAGCTCAGAACAGGACAACAAAGGCCCTGTACTGTTGGACAGCTGAAGACTTCTACATCAAAAAATTCCACTTTCAAAACTAAAACCAAATGATTTTTAAGTGCTGTTAAAAGGGAAAATGATGTAACACAGTGGTAAACATGCTTCTGTCCCAACTTTTATGGAACATGTTGCAGGTATCAAATTTGGAATGAGCATAGATTTATGGAAAAAGATGAACTTAAAGTTAAGAAATTAAATATTGTGTTTTTTTGTACTTTTTTCAATTCATTACAACTCACAGATATTAAAGATCAAACAGATGTTATTAATCACTGAATTCTGGTTTTCTTAGCATTTCACACACTGTCCCAACTATTTTGGAATTGAGGTTGTACTTTAAAACTTAAAGTTAGTCTCTTGAAAAGAATGGAAGTTGTATTTAAGGTATTTAGTGGTTGAGGCTTCTGTGTAATTTTCGTTTTGGATATGAAGTAAATGAAAGGATGGTCTTAGACTTGCACAGGACTGTATGTACATGAAAAATGTGGGCACAGGCCCACAATTCTCATATGAGTGCATCCCTAAAATAAATACTAAGATGAGTTCAGATCAAAAGTACTAAACATGTGAGACGTAGTTTCTGATTCTAGAATCTGCCATTGGTTTTAGACCGAAGCTCTCGCTGATGTTTGCTTTCTCTGTAATTTAATCATCCTCTGGACTGATTGCTGGAACAGGCCTGGAATTTCAGGCTGTTTCATCATTGCGCAGATAAGCCGCTCACCACCAAAGGCTCATTACATGTTCTCTGGATTCGTAGCCAAATGATCTAATAAATAATAAAGACCCAGCAATGAATACAACAGTATCAGAAAAACAATCCATAATTTTTTCCGTAGTAAATGGCAGAGTAAACAAAGTCATTCTGAGTAGTTTAGTGTGAAATGGTTCATACTAGAGAAACTCAGACTCAGTCTTATTTGCAGTGGTGGTGATGGGAACCAGGGGTCTTGATATGCATAGCCAGTTTATTTACTATCCAAAAATGACTTTTTTGTTACCCAAAGAATTTGAAAAATAGTGGTATAAATTGTTAATTCTAATTCTAATTCTAGTCCCATAAAATACTTAGTCCCAATCCCATTTCTTATTTTTACCCTACCCCTTATTTTTGAGTGTCTCCTTGCCCCTTGGAACTGAGTTACAGGGGTAGTGGTTGAAAGCTTCCTCTATGAAATGGGACCCTCAAATAAAAAGATCATCACTTCATTAACAGCTACTAGCGCTGCTCTGTAGGCGACCCTGCCAGTCTGCAGTGACAGCAGAGGAGGGTAAAGTTCAGCTCCTCACTGCTGGGCTTTAGTTACATTTAGGGCATCATATGACTTCAAAGAGGGGGCAATTATTCATCATCACCCACCCCTATTTCAGCTTCAGTGATATGAAGCTGAAGTCAGTTATTCACCAGCTTCTTGTTTGAACTGCTGCACCATTTAAAGTGGAACAGGAAATGTAGCTAGCTAGCTACAGAGACATCAGCATACTATTAGCATTTTTTTATGCTTGTTATGAAGACAAGGACCAAAATACACTGAAATGACATTAAACTAAGATAATACAGTGGTTATCGTAATTTTTAACAAAGAAAATTCTCACATCTATGTGTTTCTTTGGTCTCTTGTTCAGCCATCTTTACAGTTTTTCTTTTTTTCTCGTAACACTGTTTGGAGCCTCTGAAAAGCCTCAGTTTGGAGGGCCATGTAGCCCTAACGCACAAAACAGATGGGTAGGGCTAATTGGGTTGGGGCAAGGGTGAAATGGCATATCCATATTTTGCAATTTAAATTTATTTGGGTCTGACATACAATTTTAAGTTAATATGACATCAAATAGTTAAGAAAACAACAATCTGTGTTACATTTGGTTATATAAACATATTATCTGATGTTCAGTGAACTTATCACAGTGTATTAAACATTTTTGGACATAGAAATCTGTGTACTTGCTGTAGTATGAGGAGATTGTAGGTTCGAACCCTGGTGTATAAATATATTAATATACATCATATCACCCCAATTCCAAAAAAGTTGGGATGTTGTGCAAAATTGCAGAATGCAATGACTCATTTAAACCCAAAATTTATTTGAAAATAGTACAAAGACAACATTTCAAATGTTGAAACTGAGAAATATATAATTATTATTTTTTTTTTTTTGAAAAAGATATGCCCATTTTGAATTTTAGTAACATGTTTCAAAATAATTGGGAACAATTTGGACTCAGTAAGTTTCACTAGAATGGAACATTTCACATCAAACAGCTCCAGATGACTTCTCTAACTGTTAAGCTATGAGCTATTATGCTTTGGGTTTGTGTGGCAGTGAGTGGTACAGGAAATATCTAAGTTATCAAATGCAGATGAACTGTGTATTAATGTTTGCAGAAGTGTTTATGTATTTTTATATTTATTTTTATGTTTGTGTTTTTAATTGTTCTTTGCACTTCAAAAATCAACAAAATATAGGACCTTGTTTAATTGAATATCTTTTAATTTTCTGTGCATCTTTGTTTGTTGGGTTGTTTGTTTCTGTATGGAAAATGTTTAATAAAAAAAAATCTATTTTTGCATACAACTGTAGATGTGGAGTGAGTGATGAGACTAGTTGACGTTACCTGTAACAGGCCTTCATAAAGTAGTGTTTTTGAGACAAATCTAACTTTTTGCTGTTAATTATGTTGTTATTTATGCTCATCAGATACTTTCTCCATCCCTCATTTCATCCCTTTATCTCTTTTGTCCTTCTCTGCTCTCCCTCAGGTTGTTCCAGGTGGCGTCGGAGGAAGATGCCATGAACTGGTTTCCTCAGTATAGCCTTAAGCTCCGCCCATTTTATGAGACGCTCCGCCCTCCACTCAGACCAGAGACGCTCCAGCAAATCGTAGACTGCCTGCGGAACCATCCAGACTGGAGCTCCGCCCACATCGCCGTGGATACCGGCCTTCGGGACTGCCTGAAGCACAACTATGTTTTAAGGTGAGCGTTCAGAGTGGATGCAACTGTCTAAGCGTTGGCCCTGTTTATGGCCTTGCTCTCTCTGGGTGGGTAGGACGGCCCCCCGTCTCCCCCCATCACTCAGCGTGATGCTAGTCAGCGCAGCCGTCTGTTAGCTGATGTAACAGAACTGATGGTTAGTGTTCTCCTCCAAGCGTGTTAAGCTGTCCAAAGATGTTGCATTAGCGTCAGTTTGAAAAGATGCGGTGGCGCTTCACAGGTCTCAGAGGAAGCCTGTGCTAGCATTCGCCCTCCCAGTGCTGGTGGTATTGTGTGATTGGGGGAGTCCTAACTGGATACATCTAAATTGGTGGTTATGGATTCAAAGAAGGCAACGATGGTCAACGTTTATGACTTAGATCAATCTTGCCTGATTGGCTAATTGCAGTCCAACAGCTGGGCTTATTGGTGGAAATTTACTGAACCTATGTGCCATACGGTGAGGCAAATTTTGCCGCCCTGCAGCCGTCATGCACCGCTGGGATTCGATGAGATGGAAGACGGAATGTGGTGCAGCATTGATAGCAGTAGGCTTGCTTATGTGGTTTTTGGGGCTGGAGTAGGACTCCAGACCAGGAGTTACATGATGCAGGCCAACACACACACACACACATCATTGCTTTTGTTCAAAATAACCTAATTTCCACCTTAAATAAACATAATTTAAGGTGGAAAATGAGAATAAGATATAACTTCATCTACCCTCTATCCACTGTGTGAGTGACAATCAGCAAACCGGGGCTGGACCACTTGAGGCGAGGGCCACTGGTTTAACCCCTAAATTACTGCAGAAACACTTGGGTGTAGCATTTATAGTTTATCAGAGCATTCTTGTGCTTATATGCGTGAGTTAATGCATTAGCTCACAGGAACCGGCCCAAAATGCTGCCAGCCCGCCAGGAATTCTCCCAACTCTCTCGATTGTCCACTCTGGCATTGGTGGTTTCTGATACTGTTACCTATAAAAATGGACAGAAGTACATCTTTTTGCTCTGCGTAGCCAAACAGAAGGGAACTGATCACTTGTTAGCGTCGTAGCTCCAGTGCAGAACTATAGAAAAACTTTTGGCTGATATGAATAATGTTAAAATTGTGTGATATTGTTAGTTATCTTTTTTATAGAAATAAACGCTCACAAGAAAGATCAGGGTGGCTTGACCGCTAGCCGTAAGTAACTGCTTGTGGTCTTGTATCTTCAGTCAGATGAACATGCGGGACACGCAGGGTCAGACGGCGCTGCACATCGCGTGCGAGCGGGGCGAAGTGGGCTGTGTGCGGGAGCTGCTGGAGGAGTGCCAGGCTCGCACCGACATCAAGGACAAGAACGGGGACACGCCCATGCACTGCGCAGCCAAACAGGACTCCGCCGCAGTCGTGGAGGTGGGCTCACATCAGGACTGGCAGCAAAAGCTTCAGTGCTACTGCACTAGACTGTAAAGGCTAACAGCCTGCTGGTTTGTTGTTGGTATAAACAGTGTTATCTTGTGAGCAAAAAAACACTATTTTAGGTTTGTCTTCGTATGGTGGTGTATATGAGGGAGGGTCTTATTACGCATAACTGGACTTAAAACAGTGGTTGTGTTCAAATTACACATAATGAAAAACTAAAACAAAAAAGCACATCGCTGTTGTTCGGAAGAAAACCTCGTATCTCCAAAATGGTAACTTTACAGGAGAAGGAAAAAACTACTTTACTTTTAATGGAAGTCAATGGAACCAGAATTTTTTCCAAGTCATTTTGGGCTGTTTTGTTTGGTCCATTGTTCGTGAAATTTACAAACAATGTAAAGAGCAACAGGTAATTTCAAATTACGTCAAAAACTGAAAAACGACATAAATGGAGATACAAGGTTTTCTTCGGACAGGAGCGATATGTAGCATCTGTGTACACAAACACTGGCCACTTTATTGGGAACAGTTAGAAATGTGGTGTAAAGATAGGCAAATTTCATGATACGATACATAATTAATATCAGAATTAGAAAAGAAATGCCAACACAACACTCAGCCTGAAGCAGTTCAGCCCCGCCCACTGACACTGAAGTCATAGACCACTGTAGTTGTGTTGGCGTTTTGTAGTCGGCGCCATGCTCTTACGCCCGTATGAGGACTCCGGGTCTAAGCTCCATTTCTCTACTGGCCAGAATGAATCGGGTTTTCGAAAAATCGCCTCTTTTGCACAGTGTTAAATAAAAATGTCCAGAACTCGACACGTTTTGTCCTGTGAACATTCTCCTTTTGCATATCACTGGATCCTCTGAATTACGAGGTCGTAGTATCTTTAGCTTATTAGCAATTTTAGCGTACGATAGAGGTGATTTTTCCAAAACACCTTTCTTTCTGGCCATAGAGAAATCCAGCTTAGACCCCGAGTTCCTAATATGGGCTACAGAATGACGCGCGACTACAGTGATCTATAAGGAGTGTCTCAGCCTGGACTGCTTTTTGAATGAGTTACAATACAGGGCAGCCAATCAGAACAGAGCTCATTTATATAAGTCAGTCTTAAAGGTACAGTAACAAAAACAGTCTGTTCGACTACTAGGGATAAAGAAAGACTGGACAGTGGTTGTAAAATACTGATTATTACCATTTGTGATACATAAAACTATGCAAAAGTAAATATAAACATGTATGTAAATAAAAATAGGATGCAATGACATGCAATTCATGTGAACCATATTTGTAAAGGAAAATACTACAAAGAGAACAAATTAAATGTTGAAACAGAGAAATTTTATTGTTTTTTGAAAAATATATGTCGATGAATTTGATGCCAACAACACATAAAAAAAAAGTTGGGACGGGGGCCTGTTTACCACTGTGTTTCATCACCTCTTCTTTTAACAACACTCTGTAAGTGTTTGGGAACTGAGGAGACACTGCTGTAGTTTTGAAAGTGAAATGTTTTCCCATTTTTGCTTAACATAGGATTTCAGCTGATCAACAGTTCAGAGTCTCCTTTGTCGTATTTTTCATTTCATAATGCGCCAAATGTTATCAGTGGTGACAGATCTGGACAGCAGGCAGCACGTCACCCATGCTGTGTGCAATAATGCACCCTATACCATCATGAATACTGGCTTTTGAACTGTGCACTGATAACAAGCTGAGTGGTCTTTAGCCCGGAGGACACAGTGTCCATGATTTCCAAAAAGAATTTCAAATGTTGATTCATCGGACCACAGGACACTTTTCCACTTCACCTCAGTCCATTTTAAACGATCTCGGACCCAGACAAGGCGGCCGCGTTTCTGGATCCTGTTTATATATGGTTTCTTCTTTGTAGAGCAAATACTGGTTTTTGGTCTTTTCCCTGGCATACAGAGATTTCTCCAGATTCTCTGAATCTTTTAATGATATTATGTACCGTAGATGATGAAAAGCGAAAGTTCTTTGCTGTTTTACACTGAGAAACATTATTCTTAAATTGCTGCACTATTTGCCCACTCGGTGTTTCACAGAGTGGTGAACCCTCCTCATCTTTACTTCTGAAAGACTCTCTGAGGTGCTCTTTTTATACCCAGTCATGTTACTGACCTGTTGCCAGTTCATCACCAGGTGTTTTTTTGCACTGCACATCTTTACCAGCCTTTGGTTGCCCCCGTTCCAACTTTTTTGGAATGTCTTGCTGGCATCAAATTCAAAATGGGCAAATATTTTAGAAAAAACAATAAAATTTGATTTGTTGTCTTTGAAGCATTTTCAATCAAATATAGGGTTTAAATGATTTGCACATCATTGCATTTTGTTTTTATTTAAATTTTGCACAGCGTCCCAGCTTTTTTGGAAATGGGGTTGTATATACGCGAGCAGATAAGTAGGTGCTTCCTACCAGCTTTCACTCATTATTAGGTAGATTTGTTTGCAGTGTATTTTCTAATGAATGAACCTGCTGCTCCATCACAGGTGCTGTGCTCTCAGATGTGCGCCGGGATCAACGAGGTCAACGTCATCGGGGAAACGCCGCTGCACATAGCTTGTCGGATGGGTAAAGTAGAGACGGCCAAGGCGCTGATGGGAGGCGGGGCCTGCTGTGACATCATCGGGGCCACTGGCTACCCCATTCACGCAGCCATGAAGTACAGCGAGAGGGGGTGAGCAAGGAGCAGCCACACACTGCAAAAGTGCTATCTTGGCAAGTGAAATTATCTTAAATCCAGTCGGGATATCTGGTGTTTCTCATTTAGAGGTTGTTGTAAGCTATAAGTATAAGAGAATTTAGTTTATTTTTTGTCATTTTTACTCAGTTTATGTGATACTAAAGTCAAAGTATTCACAAATATCACAACATTTTTAGATCATCTCACTGTCCTGGCAGTTTTGCTTGTTCTGTGCAGATTTCTTAGAACAAGCAAAGTTATCTGCCAAATAGTGAAAATTTGACTTACTAGAATCACTTAAAATAAGTGAAAAATGTCTGTAAATAAGTTTAGTAATCTTATAATAAGCTTACAGCAACCTCAAAGTTAGAAATAGTAGATATATCATCTAGATTTCACTTTTTCACGTGCCAAGATTCCATTTTTTGGGGTGTATCAGCTCTACAGTTACACGCAGCACAGTTAGTGTGGTGAAGCATCATTCACACGTTGTGCTTATCATGGAGTATTTCCTCTGAGGCTTATGACTAAATTCTTATTTCAGTAAAAGATGTCAAAGGGTTAACAGAGCACCCGAGTAGCCCACATCCCTACTTCTGCATAGCGCAGCTGCCTGTGGTCAGGACTTTGACTGCTTCTGATGCCACAGCCATCTGTGGCCGGGAGTCTACGACCCAGTCCCATTTCAACCTTTGCCCTTACCTCTTATCCCTCTGTTTTGCGCGTTCACGTCTAGGGTTAGGGTGTCCTAATTTTTGTTGAGATAGAGGGGGAGGTGAAGTGTTGGGGCTACATGGCCCTCCAAACGGAGGTTTTTCAGAGACTCCAAACAGAGTGTTATGAGAAAAAAAAGAAAAACCAGTGAGATGGCTGAACAAGAGACCAAAGAAACACACAAATGTGAGAATTTACTCTGTTAGAAAATTATAATAACCAGTATATTATCTTAGTTTAATGTCTTTTCCATGTATTATGGTCGTTTTCTTCATAACAAGCATAAAAAATCGATAATCACATGCTAATGTTTTGGTATCTAGCTAACTAACTTTCCCGTTCCACCTTAAATAGTCCAGCAGTTCTGACGCCTGAAGCGCCAGAATGTCACTGCTGCACCATTTAAGGTGGAACTGGAAAATTCAAACAAGAATCTGGTGAATATCTGACTTCAGCTAATAGCCCCCCCTCTTTAAAGGCATATGATGCCCTAAATGTAACTAAAGCCCAGCAGTGAGGAGCTGAACTTTACCCTCCTCTGCTGTCACTGCAGACTGGCAGGGTCTCCTACAGAGCAGCGCTGGTAGCTGTTAATGAAGTAATAAATAATTTGTAGGGTAAGATTTCAACCACAACCCCTTGTAACTCAGTTCCAGTTAGGGTGACACTCGAAAACAAGGGGTAGGGGTAAAAAGAAGAAATGGGATTGGGCCTTAGTCATAATTGTCCTCTCTCTCGCCCCCCATCACTCAGCACAATGCTAGCCAGCAAGGGTGTCTGTTAATGTTCTCCTCCAAGAGTGTTGAGCTGCCCTGGTTGTTTTAGCAGCAGTTTGAAAAGATGCATCATCTACTCCGATGTTTCTAGTGTGGCATCTTCCAGCATGTTGTCCCGATGGAGCGCTCTCTGCTGGTAGCTAGTGGCAGTGAGTGTGTTTACATGCAGTTATCTGATTATTCAAATGATCATATAAACAGCACACTCCGATTTCTTAGATCAGAGTAAGGTCCAGAAATCTGATTGAAAAAATCTGATAAAGAGAGCTGGATTTTAGCTCAGTGATCAGATTTCTGAGCGCATGTGTGCCCTTACTCTGATTTCTTTCGGATTTCTCAGTCTGCACATGCGTGAAAACAGACAGCGGTACCGGAAATAAGCGAGCAACGTCGATCCAAAAGTGTTTAGCTGCGTCTCGCGGCGACGCTGCTCGCTTATTTCCGGTACCACTGTCTGTATTCACGCATGCGCGGACTGAGAAATCTGAAAGAAATCAGAGTAAGGGCACACATGCGCTCAGAAATCTGATCACTGAGCTAAAATCCAGCTCTCTTTATCAGATTTTTTTCAAATACATACTTGACGAAATGAAGGATTTAAATATTCTTCATCTTCTAGATGATGTATGTTCATATTTTCAGGTAAAGTGGCTCAATGTTTTAAAAAACGAAGCTGCATCATGAAGTTTGAGTTTTACGTTTAACGTCTTCTTCTATGAGTTTATCGGCTGGTTGCAAAGCAGAAGTCTGATTACTGTCTGACTCATGTAGACCTGGAGTTTCCTCATTACCTGATTACTCAAGTGCATGTAAACACGCTGATCGGATTACTGGCAAAATCTGATTTTCTGCAGTTATCAGATTATTAAGTGCATACAAACGCACTCATTGCTAAGTCTATCAGTGTTTAAATTAAGTTGCGGGATGTGTAGCTGAAACCGTTAAGCCTTGTTTTGAATGGTATTCAAATTCTGCATTAACGTCTATTTTTGTCATTTAATTAAGGTTATGACAAGCCCTCAATGTTAACTATAATATGGCATAGTTGAGATGGTTAATAGACATTGACTGAGTATTGGTCTGTAATGTAGTGATACATGACACAGTGATATAATAAGTGTAATTACCTTACATTTTCTAAAACCTGTATATCCTTGAATAGCATTATGGACCGCAGTGAAATTTTGGATATGAAAGACATCTGTTCTTTTTTCATGTTGAAGTTTCATTGATTTGCCAAGACTATTATAACTCTTTTAGGTACTCTTTTACTCACACAATCTTTCTGTCTCTCTCTCTCTCTCTCTCTCTCTCTCTCTCTCTCTCTCTCTCTCTCTCTCTCTCTCTCTCTCTCACTCTCTCTAGCTGTGCTGAGGCTATTCTGGCTGCTCATCCAGCCCAGCTGCAGGCTGAGGACCCGGTGTACGGGGGAACCCCTCTGCACTGGGCAAAGACTGCTGAGGTCAGCAACACACCACAGCTCACATTTAAACCTGCCAGTTAGTTAGTTAGCATTTATTTGCTCAGTGGAGCTCTATATATATATATATATATATATACTATATATATATATTATATATATATATAGCACCATACATTAAAACACACCATATGCACGCATTGTAGCTCCACTGACCCTAAAGGAGCACTTTGTAGTTCTACCGTTACAGACTGTAGTCCATCTGTTTCTCTGCATATTTTGTTACCCTGTTCTTCAATGGTCAAGACCACCACAGAGCAGGTATTATTTGGGTGATGGATCATTCAGCAGCACTGCTGGAGTTTTTAAACACTGTGTCCACTCACTGTCCACTCTATTAGACACTCCTACCTTATTGGTCCACCTTGTAGATGTAAAGTCAGAGACGATAGCTCATCTGCTGCTACACAGTTTGTGTTGGTCATCCTCTAGTCCTTCATCAGCGGTCACAGGACGCTGTTGGTTGAATGTTTTTGGTTCTCAGTCCAGCAGCAACACTGCTGTGTCTGATCCACTCGTACCAGCGCAACACAGATAGTTACACACAGATGGTTTGTTTCATAGTTTTCTAGCACAGGACGTCCTGTGGGTCTAAGATTTGTTTTGTAGTAAGAACACGCAGCTCATAAAAATGACTGACATGGTACATTTAGATGTTATTTTCCTGCCTTGTGTAAAACGAATCTGGTCCAAGTGGTACTTTTGTTGATATCAGTGCCTCACATTGAACAGTTTTTAATTCTTTCCACACTTCTAACACCCCTCATTGGGTTAATGAAGCATCAGAATCAGGTGGACGTGATTAGAGCTGCATTACAACTGCAGGAGAATCAGAAACTCATTGAATCAGTTAGTTTCGCACTATTTCTGCAGACTTTTATTCACACCCATTTGTTTTGCTTTAATAATCTCATTACTCTCTGTTAAAGCTTTTGTCCTGCGCATCGATTAACATTCCTGTGTCGTCTGTAGATGAGCCGTCTCTTGCTGGACCGTGGCTGCAACGTGAACTACCTGAGCAAGACGGGCGAGAGTCCATTACACATCCTGACCAAGAGGGGGCGCTTTGAGGCCGCCATGATTCTGCTCACTCACGGAGCTGACCCCAACATTAAGGGCGAGAACGGCAACACGGCTCTGCACCTGGCCATGAAGGTAGGCAGGACGAGTCCTCACAGGCCTGCGTGTGTCCAGCTGCCATGTGTGGCATTTTTCAACCACTTTGAGCATTAAAGAAACATTATTATCTTATATGAGTTATTATCTTATAGTTCATCAATTATTAAATGAGTTATCACATATAACAAAGTGCAGAGATCAGAAATACATTAATAGATGTTTATTTCCTTATTAATTTGCATAGTGTTCATTTACATATTTAAATACGTAAAGCTTGATAACTAAGATTCATTGTGATGACAGGCTTAAAGAAATAGTTTTGAGAGTTTTTGTCATTTAGCTGATTGATTATTTAGTTCTATGAGAATTTAACGTGATATTTTAGTGAACAGTTGACAGATTTTTCCCCAAATTTAGTCCTTCAGCTAAGACATGTGGTGAATATAGTTAATGCATAGTAGAAGTGCGTGGAGTCTCAAATAGTCTTGCTTATGTGGTTTCTATGTAGGATACTGTTATCGTACTGTGCAAAAAAAAAAAAAATCAGAGAACACAGGTTATTTATTTCATTTACAGTCAAAATGGCATTTAAGTACAAGTTGCTCATTTTTTTCAATGTCAAGAAACACTGCATAAAATATGAAATCTATCGGTGTTTAATTTTTCTGCGTTATATCTGCACAAACGTAAAGAAAACTCTTCCATCCTTTTGATCACTGCTGTGTCCTCCCAACAACAGCTGTTCCCAAAGATCTCGCATTAGGTTCCACTTTAAAGAGACCTAACATTCACAGGAGCGAACTCACTTGTTTTTATTATTCAAAGGCGAAAGTAGTAGTATTGGAAGTAATAATTTATTTTAGTCATTATTAACAGTTTTCCAAAATGAATACACACAAATAAATAAATGAATAACAATTAGGCATTAAAATAAGAAAAACAAAAAAGTTGTAGGCTGAAGCTTTTATGTATTTTGCCTATCCTTTACATATATTTACATAACATACGTACTTAAAAATGACGGTTCTTCAAAGGTTCTTAAGAAAAGGCAATGGTTCTATGTAGAACCTTGAACATTTAACAATTTGCCCATTTAACAACACTTTACCAATATGGTTTATATACAGTATAGACAATTTAGGGCCTAGCACCGAACCTTGTGGAACTTGAATTTGAACGGAGACGTTTCTGGGGAGATTAGATATTCGATAATCCGCTTGCGACTGTATGAATATGTCCAAAACTTTCGGCTGGTGTTGTACATCACTCAGCTAACGCAGCAGTAGGGAGACATCTTGAAACCTGAACCCAGATTTCACACACGGAGCACGTCTCAGCTGATGACTGTGTTTGGGTTAACGGGGGAACCGGTGTGAGTTCAGTCTGTCCTCATGTTCCTCCTTTAATGACTCCAATGTGTTTCTGTGACTGTGCTGTGCTGCAGTTGGACCACATGGATCTGATTAAAGCTCTGATTGTGTTCGGAGCCGACGTGGAGATCCACAACGACCTGGGAGAGACGCCGGGCCTGATCGCAGCCCGCACCAGCAAGGGTGAGAGAGAGAGAGAGAGAGAGACACGGGGGGAGAGAGGGAGGAAGAGAGACAGAGAGAGAGAGAGAAAAAAGGTGAGGAAGAGGGGAGAGGATAAGGGAGAGAGAAACAGAGAGAGAAAGGGGGAGAACGAGAAAAGGAAAGATTGACAGCAGGGGAGAGAGAGAGAAATAGCGAGAAAGGGAGAGAACAAGAAAAGGTGAGATGGAGTGAGAGAGAGAAAGAGAGAGAAAGGGGGAGAACAAGAAAAGGAAAGATTGATGGCAGGGAGAGAGAGAGAGAGAGAAAGGGGAGAACGAGAAAGTTGAGGTGGAGGGAGAGAGAGCGCCAGAGAGAGAGAAAGGGGAGGCTGAGAAAAGGTGATGCGAGAGAGAAACAGAGAAAGGGGGAAAACGAGAAAAGGAAAGATTGACAGCAGGGAGGGAGAGAGAGAAAGGGGGAGAACGAGAAAGGTGAGGAGGAGGGAGAGAGAGAGAGAGAGAAAGGTATAAAATGAGAAAGAGAGAGAGAGAGAGACCATGAGAGAGAGAGAGAGAGAGACCATGAGAAAGAGGATAAGGGAGAGAAAGAGACACAGTCTGAGAGAGAGAGAAAGAAGGGGAAAGAGGGAGGGAGCGAGAGACAGAGCAAGAGACAGAGAGAGAGAGAGGGAGAGAGGATAAGGGGAAGTGACGAGAGTATGTATATGTGGGAATTTAAGCGCTGAAAATGGGGTGAGCAGCGGTTCAGACACACTGGAAATGAGTTTCATTACTGACTGAGCTTTAGAACGTTCTAGAGAGCTTCTGCATGACTTCATTGGGTATGTGAAAAACATAACTAACATTTAAGCTTTTACAGTTGTAATATGTGCTTATAAATGTTGTATTAACAAGGGCTGCACGGTTAATCATATTTTAATAATTCGTGTAATATGAGTTTCCACAGTAAACACACGGTTCAGGGCTGTGATGACCGATCAGATCAAATCACAGTACAGAGTGATGTAATTAGTTAGGAGCCTTGTCTAATATTAAGAGTATTGGTGCTTAACTGCGATAGAACCTCAGCCTTTTACATCACTTAACCACTCTGCTATAGAGCCGCTTACTCTATCTGCACTACTGTGCTACTCTGTCTTTAACTACTAGGCAATGTTGCTTTAAACATCATGAATATTATTAATCCCAGTGCTGTCTACAAAACATATGAAGCAATAATGGCCACTGTCACAACGAACCTGCATCACCATAAGGAATTTAATATATCGCTGTTGTCAGAAGAAAACCTCGTATCTCCATTTTTAACGTTTTTCAGTTTTTGACATAGTTTGAAAATGTCTGTTGCCCTTTACATTGTGTGTAAATTTTAAGATGAATGGACTAAAAGAAATGACCAAAAATTGCTTGGTAAGATGTCTGGTTCCATTGACTTACATTGAAAGTAAAGTAGGTTTTTTCCGTCTCCTGTAAAGTTAGCATTTTGGAGATAAAAGGTTTTCTTCCGACAACAGCGATGTACATTTTGTAGGGTTATATGGATCATTCTAACAAACTCAAATTCAAAATCAGAGTTCAAAACACATTTCAGACTTAAGACTGGAATCTTTTTGAGTGACCTTGTGCCTTAATTATGTTTACTTTATTAAAACAAATGATTAAACGTTCCATTTTGTCATAACACTACTGAAAGTTTACCAGATGTTTTCAGTAGTGACAATTTTAGCTCATTTTGAGCAGAACCCAAAACCGCAGCCAGTACATGACACAGCTGTGAACGGTTGTACGCACATAAAATTATATTTTTTATAAATAAAAAAAAAAAGTTACTTAATTGCAGAAAATTTAGTGTTTCAGTAGTGACAGTTCTTAATGTTCCACACTGATTTTCAGACTTTAGGACACATTTACTTCAACAGAATGGGATCTAACTGCTAACTTCATGTGGCCATGAGGGACAGGGATGCAGTCTCACCTCCTGCTCTAAAATATAGGGGCGTGGCTAAAATAAGGCTCCGCCTACAGACTAGAAGCTTTGTGTTTTGGTAGTGTGTTTTGTGTTTGGTAGAGAATTTTTTTATAGTAATGTAGTGTTTTTTTCCAATTTAAAACTCACAATAAATCTCATGATAAATATTTCTTCACTTTAAAAGATATAAAAATGCCTTAAAAATATAAAAATATATATATGTGTTTATTTAGCTCTATATTTACTTCACACATGCAAGAAATGCCAATGCTGTGATATAATTAATAGCACCTTTATTAGAGAAATAAAAATGTTTTCCATAAAACATCAGCTGTCATTCTGTTCATCACCTCATTATATCGGAAATTGTTATACAGCATGTTGAAATGTAACTCGTCAAATATATTAGTTCGTTATTCAGGCCTTTGTGGGAAAAACTGTTCAAGGGACGGTGTTTTTACAGTTCACAGAAAAGCGTATGTGGTTATAATATAAGCAGCTGTTTTGTTATTTTGCACTTTGCGCAGTAGTGAATGGTGCTTCAGTAATAGTGGAGACACTGTTTAATCAGATCACTGTTCATATCATCGTCGCAACATCCAGTCACTTTATTGGACGTCCTGTTTAATGTCCACATCGTGCAGCCCTGAATACACCACACACCCCTCACTGCCTGATGTAGTTCATGAGTGTCACATACATGAGCTACTGTTCCTAACATTGAGGCTTTTGAGAGTCTGTGAAATGGTCAGTTTCATAGAGTTTCCTAGCTTTGTGAATGAAGCCAGTGCCTGGGAGGGTATCATGCTTAAAAGTGTGTATTAGTTTTATCTGGCTCTCCATTCTGATTGGTTCGATGGTCTTTTTTCACTCAGTTTAAGTGAAATCAGATTCACACAGTTTCACTCTCATCCATAAATGCAGGGTGTGAAGTTTGCTTTTTTAGTTTGGAGCTCAAGGCCAATGTTTCTCAGTAGTAATGGGAGCGTATGGCCTCTAGTTAGCATTAGCCTCAAAGCTAATGTAAATGTGAGAGTAAACTAAAGAAGCAGACGTCAGACCCCAGGCAGGCCTTGACCACGTTTGAAGGTAAAGCTGTGTTCAGGTAGATGTTTAAGCCAAACTGTCCCGTTAAACCTGGAGAGGTTCAGTGGCAGGTCTGTGTTCAGGCTGTAACTCTGGGTGTGTTAAATGGACTTTTACACAGTAAAGCTTGGAAACTCTGTATTACAGTGACGACGCGCATGTTTTAATTTGTGCTCTCAAACACTCATAACATCTATTCTCTCTCTCTCTTCTATCTATCCCTCTCTCTGTATCTCTCTGTCTCTCCCTCTCTCTGTCTCTCTCTCTCTCTCTCTCTCTCTCTGTATCTCTCTCATTTTCTCTCTCTCATTTTCTATCTATCTATCTATCTATCTATCTATCTATCTCCCTCTCTCTCTCCCTTTCTCTCTCTCTCTGCCTCTCTCTCTGCCTCTCTCTCTGTCTCTCTCTCTCTATCTCTCTATCTCTCTCTCTCTCTCTCACTGCCTCTCTCGTTTCTTTCCCTCTCTCTCTCTCACTGCCTCTCTCTCTCTTTTTTCTCTCTCTCTCGCTCTCTCTCTCTCTCTCTCTCTCTCTCTTTTTCTCTCTTTATCTATCTCTCTCTATCTCTCCCTCTCTCTCTTTCTCTCGTTTTCTCTCTCTTTCTTTTGTTCTCTCTCTCTTTGTCTCTCTCTCGTTTTCTCTCTCTTTCTCTATGTCTCTGTCTGTCTATCTGTCTGTCTGTCTATCTCTCTTTATCTCTCTCTATCTCTCTCGTTTTCCCTCCCCCTCTCTCTCTTTCGTGTTCCCTCTCCCCTCCCTCTCTCTCTCTCTCTCTCTTTCTCTCTCTCTTTCGTTTCTCTCTCTCCCTCTCTCCTCTCATGTTCTCTCTCTCTGTCTATCTATCTATCTATCTATCTGTCTCTCTATCTCTCTCTCTCTCGCTCTTTGTCTCTCTGTATCTCTCTCTTTCTCTGTCTCTCTCTCTCTCTCTCCCTCTCTCCTCTCATGTTCTCTCTCCCTCTCTCTCTGCCTCTCTCTCTCTCTCTCTCTCTCTCTGCATGTGTTGTACTCATTAACTGGTTTTGCCTCTAAGGGCCGAATCGTAAGGTGTTGTTAAAGATGCTGTGTAGTGTTGGGGTGGAGCGCTGTCACCCCCCCACCCCTGACCTCCCGCTCCCCAGCATGAGGAGAGCTCCGCCTCCCACCATAGGTAAACCTCCAATAGCTGAGCGTCCTCCACGTCTGGAGCCTTTCTGCTTCACACCTTCTCTCACACAAAGCTTCAAAGGACGAGTTCAGCAAAATATCTAATTTACACATTTTCCCCTGTTAACCCAAACAGAGCCCGCTGTGTGGAGCTGTTAAAGGGGAACTCCACCAATTTTTCAAAATGAATGCAAAATGAAATCATTAAGATGTAAACAAAGTCATTCAGAGTGCTTTAGTGAGAAACGCTCCATTTCAGAGAAACTTACTGAGTCAGGATTGTTCACAGTGGTGGTGATAGGAACCAGACGTCCACCTCTAAAAGCTCCCTCACAGAAAGTTACTACATGCAGTGGTTATGAATTCACTGCCTGATGCCTGAGACTTTGTTTTACAATAGTTTTACGATAGTTTTGGCTTAAAACGTATTTTAAGAGGTATGTGCACAACATGATATGGTAAGTAGTCCCCAGTGTTTTCAGATTTTTACCATCATCAGCATTCCTGAAAGCTCAGAGGACATGTGTAGGTTCACTGATAGTTTTGGATAGTGAATAAAATGTCTATATTTGTGTTGTAGCCATGGCAACGTCTTGTCTGGCACTACCACTGTAAAGAAATCATGAATATTTTACACCAAACTACTCTGAATGACTGGTGATTGAATTATGTTGAAATTTAGCAAAAAAATAAAGATTTCCTTTAAGTAATCTCTTACCTGTTTACTGACATCGTATGACGCATTATTAGGTACAGAAATTTACAAACGTATGCCATATCGCTGCAATGGTAGTAGCAGCCTGATTATTGTATAAGCTTCCAATGTAAATTTGATTTTTGCTGAGCACCTTTAAGGTCTATGTGATAGCAGATCACTACTAGACCAGCATGTTTGGCTGCACTGTGCATTCAGTCAATCAATCGTCGATGCCAAACAAAAGCATTTTTGATTGTTGATCCAAGGTTTCCCTTCTAATTTGGTCACTCTCTCTGTCTGTATGCTCACTGTTTCTGTTCCCTGCCAGATAAACTTAACAATGTGTTTGAATTAGAGCCTGACCAACATGTCGGTCGGTTGATATATGTATATGTATATAGTTGTCATTTTGGAGATACGAGGGTGTGTGTGTATGTATATATATATATATGCTCTTGTTGGAAGAAAACCTTGGAAGTGTCTCCAAAATGACAACTTTACAAAAAAAGAAAAAAATCTTACTTTACTTTCAGTGTAAGTCAATGGAACCAGAATTTTTTCCAAGTCATTTTGTGCCATTTCGTTACACGTATACACACACATACACACCATCATATATACTGAAACCTTCAAAATTTTACAACCCCATTTCCAAAAAAGTTGGGACGCTGTGCAGAATGTACATAAAAAGATGCAAATCATCTAATCCATATTTTTAAAGGAAAATACTACAAAGACATCATATCAAATGTTGAAGCTGAGAAATTTCTTATATTTAAAAAAAAAATGTCCATTTTGAATTTGATGCCAACAACATTTTCCAAAAAAGTTGGGATGGGGACCTGTTTACCGCTGTGTTTCATCACCTCTTCTTTTAACAACACTCTGTAAGCGTTTGGGAACTGAGGAGACACTGCTGTAGTTTAGAAAGTGAAATGTTTTCCCCTTTCTTGTTTGATACAGGATTTCAGCTGCTCATCAGTTCAGAGTCTCCTTTGTTGTATTTTTCATTTCATAACCCTCCAAACCTTTTCAGTAGTGAGAGGTCTGGACAGCAGGCAAATCAGTTTAGCACCCAGACTCTTTTAATACGGAGCAATGCTGCTGTAATACATGCAGAATGTGGTTTGGCATCGACTTGCTGAAATAATCAAGGCCTTCCCTGATAAAGACGTCATCTGGACGGCAGCATATGTTTTCAAAACGTATAAATATCGTTCAGCATTAATGGCGCCTTCACAGATGTGCACGTCACCCATGCCATGCGCACTAATGCACCCCTACACCATCATGAATACTGGCTTTTGAACTGTGCACTGATAACAAGCTGAGTGGTCTTTTTTTGCCCGGAGGACACCGTGTCCATGATTTCCAAAAAGAATTTCAAATGTTGATTCGTCGGACCACAGGACACTTTTCCACTTCACCTCAGTCCATTTAAAATGAGCTCAGGCCCAGAGAAGGTGGCAGCGTTTCTGGATTTGTTTATATTTGGTTTCTTCTTTGCGTTTAAGAGTTTTTAATTAGCATTTGTGGATGCAGTGATGAACTGTTTTCACACGACAGTGGTTTTCAGAAGTGTTCCTGAGCCCATGCAGTGATTTCCACTACAGAATCATGTCTGTTTGATAATCCAGTGCCGTCTGAAGGCCCAAAGATCACGGCCAGCAAATACTGGTTTTTGGCCTTGTCCTTTGCATACAGAGATTTCTCCAGATTCTCTGAGTCTTTTAATGATATTCTGTACCATAGATGATGAAAAACAAAAGTTCTTTGGTATTTTATGTTGAGAAACGTTATTCTTAAATTATTGCACCATTTGATCGTGCAGTCTTTCACAGAGTGGTGAACCCCTCCTCATCTTTACTTCTGAAAGACTCTCTGAGATGCTCTTTTTATACCCAATCATGTTACTGACCTGTTGCCAATCAACCACCAGGTGTTTTTTTTAGCATTACACAACTTTACCAGCCTTTTGTTGCCCCCGTCCCAACTTTTTTCGAACGTGTTGTTGGCATCAATTTTAAAATGGGCAAATATTTTTCAAAAAACAATAAAAATTTCTCAGTTTCAACATTTGATATGTTGTCTTTGTACTATTTTCAATCAAATATTGAGTTTAACTGATTTGTACACCATTGCATTTTGTTGTTGTTTATTTACATTTTGCACAGCGTACCAACTTTTTTGGGAAATGGGGTTGTAATTAGATCATGATATAAATTCTAGAGAAATTAACTGAGTCAGAACTGTTGACCATTATAATACTAGGAACCAGACGTCCGAAGCATTTGATGGCTCTAAAAGCTACATCTCTCTAAGTTATCACAATGGTTATAAATGCGTAGCTCAGTACCTGAGGCATTGTTTTATGATAGTTTTGTTATAAAGTTTTGGCCTAAAACGTATTTTTAATATAATCTATTACTCCAGGATTGCATGTTTCCTTGAAAACCGCTTCTCAACTGAGATAAATGCGCCAGTCAAAGACTGCGTTCAACACGGCTAACGCCAGGAACAGCTTTTGTTTACAGGTTATTATTTACAGTTTTCTTACCTATTTTGGAAGATGACAGAGTATGCTGAGGACAAATGAGTTGCAGCAGCTTGAAAAAGAGAGAAAGTCGAACCGGAGAGAGAGCAGAAGCAGAAGAACCCAGAGTGAATGGAAAGTGCTGGTCTAAACAACAAAGTACTTGCTATTCTGCTTACCAGTTTATATGGTAGGACAGCGAGGCAGATAGTTACATATTCATCGTGTGGCCAACTTTAGACAGTCTGTTCTGAGCTAACGGCTAACAGTGATATATGCATGGAGGCTAACGACGTCTAATTTATTTCACGAACGTTTTTACCTTTGGTTCCAGTTTCTGCTGGTGTGAAACTGCGAGTGTGTAAATGTGCGGCTCTGCAGTCAGACCGTTCTCCAAAACGCGAGCAGGGCGGAGAGGAACACGCAGGACGTTATATGAAAAAAATAGAACCCAAAGAAACAAATTTTTTCAATTTAGCACTATTTTACCACAAACAGCGTGACGAGCAAAACCTATAAGACGCATAAGTTCACTGGTCATGTTGGATATCAGATAAAATGGTGATATCTGTCGTGTTGACATAACGACGTCTGGTTTCTTGTACTATAATGGTGAACCATTTTGACTCTAGACTCTATTTCTCTAGAAAGGCGCATTTTACACCGAACCACTCAAAACCATTAAATGATGAATTCATTTCGCAACATCGTTGGACTTCCCCTTTAACTGTGTGACTGCAAAACAGACTTAAACCATGTAAAATGTATTCAAACGTCACTTTTAGCATGAAAAGAAAATGGTATAACACAAAAAAAACTGATTAAAAGAAAAATAAGATGTAATTAACAGAAACCAAAATTGTAAAGAATTTAATCTAACTAGTGTTACAGTATTTATAATATTTAATACTGTTAGTCATTTCACAGTTTGCAGTTCAGCACTGACAGTCATCTGTCAGTAAAGCACTGTTTAACTGAAACTGTTCAAAAATGAATTAAATACGAAATTATATCAGCCAGTGTTCTCAGTAATCAACAGCTGTGGCCCCTCGAAGCTTCAGTATCAGCCACAGAATTATCATGTTGGTCGGGCTCTAATTTTCATCACGGTAATATGGCGTAGTTTTGTTTTCCCATCTGCTCTTCTGCTTTATTTCCTCCGAACTAAAACCAGACACTCCCGATCATCTCTCTCCTCAAAGTTCCACACTTTCCTTTTGGAGGAACATGGGCTTCCTACTATGCTTACAAGAGTAAGACTAGGATTAGTGCGATTCCTCAGCTGACCTGAGGTCTTGTCTGTGATTCACCGACAGGGTTTGATGACATCATTTACACGGCCGCTGCCATCTCCGCCATGAGCCGAGGCTACGCGGAAGTGGACGGCCTCAAAGCAGGAAGCCGGAGGTGCGTAGTTACTGTATTTATGAACATTTCACAAGACAGTTTAGAAGCGGGAGCAAACAGCAGAGATCCTGGAGGGATTTTGATGCCTGCCGCCGTAATAAAAGTCCCTTCAGGAGAAAAAGAAGTCAAATCAGAATTAGATAACTTTATTGATATGAGTAATTGAATTAAGGATAATTAACAGCTCTGGTCAAAGCAGTTTTTAGTACAAATAGTGGTGATAATGTTGATTAAAAAAATAAAATAACAAATACAAATACAAATGTGTGTTTACAGTGTTCAGGACCACCACGGTGCAGGTATTATTTGGGAGATGGAGCTACTTAGCTCAGTCGTAGCCTGGTTTAACTAATTTCTAGCCAAGTTAAACTCAGTCACAGACCGGTTACGTTCAGTTGTAGCCTGGTTTAGCTCCGTCGTAGCCTGGTTTAGCTCCGTCACAGCCTGGTTTAGCCCGGTTGCAGCCTGGTTTAGCTCAGTCATAGCCTGGTTTAGCTCAGTCGTAGCCTGGTTGAGCTTAGTCGTAGCCTGGTTTAGCTCAGTCATTGTCTGGTTTGGCTCAGTCGTAGCCTAGTTTAGCTCAATCACAGCCTGATTTAGCTCAGTCACGGCCTGGTTTGGCTTAGTCATACCCTGGTTTAGCTCAGTCGTAGCCTGGTTGAGCTCAGTCATCTGGTTTAGCTCAGTTGTAGGCTGGTTTAGCTCAATCATAGCCTGGTTTAGCTCAGTCGTAACCTGGTTGAGCTCAATCATAGCCTGGTTTAGCTCAGTCGTAACCTGGTTGAGCTCAGTCGCAGCCTGGTTTAGCTCAGTCGCAGCCTGGTTTAGCTCAATCGTAGCCTGGTTGAGCTCAGTCGTAGCCTGGTTTAGCTCAGTCGTTGTCTGGTTTAGCTCAGTCGTAACCTGGTTGAGCTCAGTCGTTGTCTGGTTTAGCTCAGTCATCTGGTTTAGCTCAGTTGTAGGCTGGTTTAGCTCAATCATAGCCTGGTTTAGCTCAGTCGTAACCTGGTTGAGCTAGTCATACCCTGGTTTAGCTCAGTCGTAGCCTGGTTTAGCTCAGTCGTTGTCTGGTTTAGCTCAGTCGTAACCTGGTTGAGCTCATTCGTAGCCTGGTTGAGCTCAGTCATCTGGTTTAGCTCAGTTGTAGGCTGATTTAGCTCAATCATAGCCTGGTTTAGCTCAGTCGTAACCTGGTTGAGCTCAATCATAGCCTGGTTTAGCTCAGTCGTAACCTGGTTGAGCTCAGTCGCAGCCTGGTTTAGCTCAGTCGCAGCCTGGTTTAGCTCAGTCGCAGCCTGGTTTAGCTCAATCGTAGCCTGGTTGAGCTCAGTCGTAGCCTGGTTTAGCTCAGTCGTAGCCTGGTTTAGCTCAGTCGTTGTCTGGTTTAGCTCAGTCGTAACCTGGTTGAGCTCATTCGTAGCCTGGTTGAGCTCAGTCATCTGGTTTAGCTCAGTTGTAGGCTGGTTTAGCTCAATCATAGCCTGGTTTAGCTCAGTCGTAACCTGGTTGAGCTCAATCATAGCCTGGTTTAGCTCAGTCGTAGCCTGGTTTAGCTCAGTCGCAGCCTGGTTTAGCTCAGTCGCAGCCTGGTTTAGCTCAGTCGTAGCCTGGTTGAGCTCAGTCGTAGCCTGGTTGAGCTCAGTCGCAGCCTGGTTGAGCTCAGTAGTAACCTGGTTTAGCTCAATCATAAACCCGGCTGTGTCTGAGCTCATCCCTTCCTGCATGCTGCCCTCAGTGTTGCTTTCCGTAATGTAAAAATGGTGAACTAGCCAAATAAAATAACTTGATGAAGGAAATAAAAGCAACGACTTACAAACTCAAAAATGAATGACTTATAATTCTCTCTTGTTAATTCTCAGCTGAGTGATCGAAATGTACATTTCTCAGCCTCCATTTTCCTTGTGATTGTTTTTTTTGTTGCATATGTAAATGTAATCATATACAAAATCAATCTATCTCTCTCTCTCTCTCTCTCTCTCTCTCTCTCTCTCTCTCTCTCTCTCTCTCTCTCTCTTTCTACCAACCCCCCCCCCACTGTAGGACAGACAGATTGCTGTGTTTAGATGGAGGAGGCATTAAGGGCTTGGTGCTGATCCAGCTGTTGATTGCGTTAGAGAAAGCAGCAGGCCAACCCATTAGAGAACTCTTTGACTGGGTGGCTGGAACCAGCACCGGCGGCATCCTGGCCCTCGCTATAGTCCATGGTGCGTATATGAGACAGAGACTGTTTTGGTTCAAACCGTCTGTGGTAATGAAACAGGGCTGTTGGAATGATGTAAACAAACAGCAGCGTAATTGCGAGTAGCTGATTCTGGCTTTGTGTGACAGTGAGAGTGATTATAATTGCTGTTGTAATGTATGTGCACTCATTGACCGGGTTATGAGAAACAGAACATAGGCCCACTGAATAGATGTACAGTCATAGACTGTAGAGCATTATTTGTCCAGACCTGACAGGTCTGACTGCTCACATCTGGTTTAAACATATTTATCCCAAGACATGACAACTTGGCTTGGGTTCTCACAGAAACTGACCACCGATGAAGAACTACAGGATGGCTAACACAAATTGAGCGTCAGCAAATAAGCTACACTCTTTAACTGTACAACAGAAAGATGTAGTTACAAAGTAATGAACTGGCCAGTAAGTGTACATTGATGATCTATTTTTGGTTTTATTATTGCAATCCTTGACGTTATCATACAAATAGTGAAGTGTAAGTGATGATTCCTCCTGTGTGTGTGTGTGTGTGTGTGTGTGTGTGTGTGTGTGTGTGTGTAGGGAAGTCGATGCAGTACCTGCGGTGTCTCTACTTCCGGATGAAGGAGCAGGTGTTTAAGGGGTCCAGGCCATATGAGTCGGCCCCTCTGGAGGACTTCCTGAAGAAGGAGTTTGGAGAGAACACAAAGATGACCGACGTTAAACACCCCAGGTACACTGTTTTCCTTTCTGTGTTTATGTGTGTGTTTGGTTGAGGTAGAGGAGAACAGACAGATATATACAAATATGCACTGGGCACTCGCACGACCAAACTAATGAATGTTGTGGCCACAGTAATAGAAACATGTTTGTGTGTGTGTGTGTGTGTGTGTGTATATATATATATATATATATATATATATATATATATATATATATATATATGTATATTGTATGTATATTTCATGATGAATGGACTGAAATAAATGACTGTAAATGACTTGGAATAAAGTCTGGTTCCATTGACTTGCATTAAAAGTAAAGTATGTTTTTTGCTTCTCCTGTGAAGTTGTTATTTTGTAGATATGAAGTTTTCTAAGACCTTATAGAGTGAATTTTATGGCCTATTCTGATTTTGATGTAATTACACCCAAACTGACCATGGCTGTTTTGTATTAGCTGTTATTTAAATGACAAAAAAAATCTTAGCTAACTAGCTAACTAACACTCTCTCTCTCTCTCCTCTCTCTCTCTCTCTCTCTCTCTCTCTCTCTCAGGGTGATGGTCACTAGTGTTCTAGCAGACAGGCACCCAGGGGAGCTGCACATTTTTCGAAACTACGATCCGCCCGCCCTGTCCAGAGACCCTCCATATGTTTCTACTGCCACCTTTAAACCACTCACCATCCCACAGGGTAATAATACACATACACACACTGTTCAGAAGTCCCCCAGCTTCAGACCCCTCACTGTGCCACTGTATTTTACAGTCGTATGCAAAATAGCATTTTTCTGATTTTCTTCATGAAAATAAGTGAAAACATCTTCTACAGAGAACTAATACAAAGAACAAACTGCATATTTAATATACTGTTTGTTCATTAAATATGAAGTTCAAGTGCATTAACATTTTCAGAACAGTCTTAATTTAAGAGTTTAAATGAGTCACAGCCTGGGTTAGCTCAGTCACAGCCTGGGTTAGCTCAGTCACAGCCTGGTTTAGCTCAGTCGTAGCCTGTTTAGCTCAGTCGTAGCCTGGTTTAGCTCAGTCATGGGTTGTAGCCTGGTTGAGCTCATTCATAGCCTGGTTTAGCTCAATCGCAAAGGAATGCTCCATATTAGTGCCCATTGTTTTGAAATGGGATGTCCAATAAACTTATATAGGTGTGATGGACATATATAGGTGTGATGGACAGGTTTCCGTACAGTGTATCTCAAAAGTGGATAATAAATCTCAGATATTTTGACGAAAACATTTCTAAAAACCAGGTGCCGGCAACCCAAATGTTAAGAAGAGGCATTTTGTCCCTTCAGTATTCACCACTTTGGAAGCCACAACATTTTATGTTCATTTTACCATCTTGGCTGTAAATATGTCTCAGTATGTGCTAATGTACTAGTACAGGCTAAAAAATAGAATATAAAAAAAAAAAATGCAGACTTTGCTCTGCTTTAAGCTTTAGCTCAGCTATAGCTGCTTTTCCCGCATCTCCGGCAGGAAACTTTTCCGCAAAAGTAAAATAGATTCTTGTACAATGTCTCTCAACATTCGGCTTTTACGAGGCTGAATTCAGCTTCTTATTCACCAGCTTCTTGTTTTGAATTTTCTTGTTTTACCTTAAATTGTGCCAGAATTTAACTGCTGCACCATTTAAGGTGGAATGGGAGAATTTGAACAAGCTGGTAAACGAGAAGCAGACTTTAGCTTCGCAACCTTTTAGTGTTTGTCAGTTTCTCATTGCAGATTAAACGTATCGGGAAACCAGCTGGAGTGACTACAAATGCAAAGAAGTCTATTCGGCTCCAAATTATCGATACTAGCTAAGCAATGTTGTATGTGTTGCTATGGTGATCAGCGCCAACTGTGATTTGAAACTTTTGAGCTGTGTGTGTGTGTGTGTGTGTGTGTGTGTTTGTGTGTGTGTGTATTTGTAGCCTCTCAGTGTCAGTGTTGTTGTTTCAGGCTGGGAGGATGAAGATGTGTTGATAGTGGGATACACTCAGGAACCTCCCAGAAAGCGTAGAAAGGTGACAGATGAAGGTTTGTGAGAGAGAGAGAGAGAGAGAGAGAGAGTGAGAAAGAGGGAGAGGGAGAAAGAGAAGGGTCACAGTGAGAGAGAGACACCTGGTGAAATGATCTAATGCCGCACTGCACCTGGGACCCGAATTAGATTCTTTCTTTTATGAATATGCATCGGGTTGTCCATTAATCTTTGTTTCATCTCTCTCTGCCGTCTCCTTTCTCTCTCTTTGTCTTTTCAGAGCAGGTAGTGTGGCGTGCTGCCCGCTCCAGCGGCGCCGCCCCCACGTACTTTCGGCCAATGGGACGCTTCCTGGACGGAGGGCTGCTGGCTAATAACCCGACGCTAGATGCCATGACAGAAATCCACCAGTACAACAAAGCTCTGAAAACTCAGGTATCGAAACACTTTAACCTGCTCACACAAACCTACTGCACTTCTTTTAGATGTGGTCATTTGGTCTAATGTGAGACGCAGAATGAGGTGCTTGTTTCTCCTTGACTTGACTTAACTAACCTATAACTGCTGATATTTATACAATTACATTTTTTAAATATTTTATTTTGGTAAAATCTGTGTTCTGCATCACAAACAAAACACACCCAGCTTGGCTAGATGACGTTACTTGTTGGATTATATTTATTAGATGCTTAAAAAAAACTTTTTTTGTCTATTTACTGTATCTATTATATAATTAGTAATAAGAATCATGTTTAACAACTTACATAAATGTAAAATATCCTTATTTTGGAAAACAGTTAAAAACAGAGCTGAACAGTAAACAGATAAACCTGTTGTGTTTACACATCAGCACACAGCAGCTTCTCTGGCTCAAAAACAGAGCTGAATGTTGTTTCACATCTAAATTTCTCAATTCATTTGTCTCACCTGCGTCTTGTTCACTCGCGCTGCATCTCTGAGGGTCAGTTCAGTAAATATTGTCGTTCACGCTGTCAGTATCGGCGACTTTCAGTGTTTTTTCTGGCTTGGTTGAAGCGATGGGCCGCGAGACCCTGCTGCTGAGCGATACAGCACTGCAAGCAGGGCTAGTGGACACACAGACAGCTGCTGTGCTAAAGGCTAAATCGAGGCTAAAGGCGTCATTATGCAAAGAGTCCGGCAGTTCCTTTCGCTCTCTCTGTAACATTAACTCAGACTGTGAGTGACCATGCAGCGGCAGACGGGCGATTACTGACAGAAGCAGCTCAGCTGTTCATGTAAGCGGCTCCGTTAGCGTGTTCTTAACACCAAAAACAGCCGTTATAGATCCTGGTGGTTTAAGTTTAAGGTTCGCTTTAAAGAAACTGACTGATGTCTTCACAGTGGTGGTGATAAGAATCAGGGGTCACTATGTCTTTAACACAAATATAGCCGTTTTATTCACTATCCAAAACCATCAGTGAACCTACACACGTCTTTAAGTAGCGATGATAAAATAGTGCTAAATCTGTGAAAAATAATTTTTTGAGGACTGTTTTGCCACATGATGCCCTGTGTGTTCCTCATTCATGTGCCATGAAGAGATTAAAAAAAATGTTTTAGGCCAAAAAACCTTCTCAAAACTTTTGTGAAACAATGTGACATCTAACCATTTCATGAAATAACTTTCTGTGAGGGAACTTTTAACCACTCTGAATGACTTTGATTACATCTTACAATTAAATTATGCAGAAATGTAGAAAATTTGATGGAATTCCCTGTTCAAAGATAAAAGTGATTTGGGATTATTTTGCCTACTGAAAAAATCTGTCATCCCAAAAGGCTCTGAAGCTGAAGTGTCATCTGCTGTGTCTTCCATCTGTAGTTTAAATACAACCTTCAGCCTGAAAACTTATATACAAAATGCTAAATAACACGGAGCTTTACTTTGAGGAGGTAAACGTTTTCACATTTTGAAATATGACTCCAAATATATGTGCTTTACTGCTAGTGTGGGTTTCCTCGCACAGAAAAGGTGCTATTTGACTGTTAATAGCGCCCTCTTGTGGTAAATCTGAATTATTGCGGAGAAAATTAATAACTTTTCACAAAATGATCTTTGTGTTTCTTTTTTCACAGTTAAATTTGACAGTTTGTTCCACTTATTGACAGTCAGACCTATTAGAAGCGTTTTATGCTTTAATCTCAGCTCTAACAAGTTTTCATTTGTGCTACAACACCTGCTACTTTTACAGCACCAGAGCGACCTTCTCATAAAGTGTGTTTGTGTTTCAGGGTCGGGAGGATGAGGTGTGTAAACTAGGAGTGGTGGTCTCTTTAGGTACAGGAAAGCCTCCACAGGTGGAGGTCAATTCTGTGGACGTTTTCAGACCATCCAACCCTCTGGAGCTGGCCAAAAGCTTCATAGGAGTCAAAGAACTGGGCAAGATGCTGGTGGACTGTGTGAGTACATGCACAAGTTTAAGCCCTTCAGTTACTCACTCTCATAACCACATTATGACATACACCGATCAGACATAACATTCTGACCACCTCCTTGTTTCTACGCTCATTGTCCATTTTATCAGCTCCTCTTACTATATAGGTGCACTTTGTAGTTCTACAGTTACAGACTGTAGTCCGTCTGTTTCTCTGCATACTTTGTTAGCCCCCTTTTACCCTGTTCTTCAGTGGTCAGGACCCCCATGGACCCTCACAGAGCAGGTACTATTTGGGTGGTGGATCATTCTCAGCACTGCAGTAACACTGACGTGGTGGTGGTGCGTTAGTGTGTGTTGTGCTGGTCTGAGTGGATCAGACACAGCAGTGCTCCTGGAGTTTTGAACACCTCAGTGTCACTGCTGGACTGAGAATAGTCCACCAACCAAAAATATCCAGCCAACAGCGTCCTGTGGGCAGCGTCCTATGACCACTGATGAAGGTCTGGAGGACGACCAACACAAACTGTGCAGCAGCAGATGAGCTGTCGTCTCTGACTTTACATCTACAAGGTGGACTGACAAGGTAGGAGTGTCTAATAGAGTGGACAGTGAGTGGACACAGTGTTTAAAAACTCCAGCAGCACTGCTGTGTCTGATCCACTCACATCAGCACAACACACACTAACACACCACCACCACATCAGTGTTACTGCAGTGCTGACAATGATCCACCACCCAAACAGTATCTGCTCTGTGAGGGTCCATGGGGGTCCTGACCACTGAAGAACAGGGTAAAAGGGGGCTAACAAAGTATGCAGAGAAACAGACGGACTACAGTCTGTAACTGTAGAACTACAAAGTGCACCTATATAGTAAGTGGAGCTGATAAAATGGACAATGAGCGTAGAAACAAGGAGGTGGTCAGAATGTTATGCCTGATCAGTTTATAGTTACATTCATTTTGTAGTAATTGAATAATTTACAACAGTTACAGAATAAAAAGTCTTAAGATTAATAACTAAATATTACATAGTTTACAAGCCTCTGAAATTGTACTGCTTGTTCTGTGGTTTTTAGACAAGAGGATTTACTGGGAACTCTTTATTTGAAGGCTGCCGACACAGGGACTTCATAATACATGCATACACATTGAAGAACTCATTTATAAAGCAGTGCTGGAATATTTATAAGTAGCTTATGCCAGAAATCACAAGATTAGTAAGGAATTAAATGCCATTGTGCTGACATGAGGGGACTTAAACTAAAGTCTAGGTGATGTTTTCATTTATAACATTGTTATAAAGCTACATTCCAAAGTAATGAGGCTTAAAAGGCAGGGGCGTACTTCAGAAACACCCTTGGTAAAATATTACTGTTTACATTCCTGAGTCCAAAAATCAAACATTTTAAACGTAAGGGCACTTTTAGAGTTTCTTAGTCTATTCAAGTCCTCAGTCCGAGATTAAAACAGCCTTTCTTGCCCTCAATTTCAAGTAAAACGGCCTCGCTTACCCCAGTTTGATGACAGCAAACTAACCACAGCTAATGCTCAACCAATGCAATGGGCTAAACTAAGCTAATTATTTTTGTAAAGTACGATTAGGGAACATGTCATCAGTCATTATATTATATTATATGATATTATATTATATTATATTATATTATATTATGGTGTATTATTTTGATGAACCGCTTCTATTAAGGAGACATATGGCGTTCTGTGGCTTAGAGGTTCATTTACTATCAAAAGATTCTTCATAAAGTTCTTTAAAATGGAACAAATGTCCCATCACTTTAGATTAAAGGCCCTTATGTCAGTAATCAGCCTTATGTCATGAAACATTTTAGGGGATTCTGTGATAATTAGCTTAAGCTGTTTTTAAATATTCAGGTACTGCTTTATAAATATGTTATTCAAAGCTCATGCCTGTGCTATGAAGTGCCGTTGTAGGCAGCTTTCAAGTGAAGTATTACCAACTTTCTGTACACTAAACTAGGGATCGGCAACATACGGTTCTTTTACTGCCCTGTTGCGGCTCCACAGCAGAGTTAGAGTTATAGGTAAAAATAAAATAGTCCTACTTTACACTAAAATAAAGCTCTGCTGGTTGTTCAACAAAGTTTTAACAATAAAAGGTCTTAAACACTGCAGTTAATGTAGCCTGTATCTGCTAATTCACTAACTTTTGACCCTGAAGGTCGGCGTGCAGACTGCTGGTCACCAGTAGCAACATTGACAACAATCTCGCCTAGCTAGTAGGTAACGAAAAGGCAAAGAGAAAGGTTTAAAACGAACATTGATAATTTGGAGATGAATGGACTTACTTGTGTTTATAATCACTCCAGCTGGTTTCCTGAGTTTCTTGTTCGAATTGTCCCGATCCACCTTAAACAGTGCAGCAGTTACATTTTGGCACGTCAGACACCATTTAAGGTGGAACGGGAAAATTTGAATGAGAATCGACTTCAGCCTCGTAAAAAATCGATCGTTGAGACATTTTACAAGAAGCTATTCTACTTTTGTGGAAATTTCCCTGCCAGAGATGCGAGAAAAGCAGCTATAGCTGAGCTAAAGCTTAAAGCAGAGCAAAATAAGTCTGTGTTTTCGTTTATATTTTTTAGCCTATACTAGAACATCAGCACATACTGAGACATATTTACAGCCAAGATGGTAAAATGGACATAAAATGTTGTGGCTCCAAAGGTGGTTCGATGTTTGTTGAAAGGACAAAATGGCTCTTCTTAACATTTTGGGTTGCGACCCCTGGTCTAGACACAAACCAGTAGAAGAAATTCACCTTTAGAGGCTCTTGGTCTGTTTTCACAGCTGTTATAATTGAACTGCTTTTACAACTGCATACAAACGCATAACACACACATTGCAGTTCGTTTTACCGTCTTACAGGGTTTTAATGAAGCAGATATATTTTTCCTCAGTAATCGTGAACTAGGTGTTTGTTCTTGTTTTGCAGTGCACTGACTCAGACGGCTGTGCCGTAGACAGAGCCAGAGCCTGGTGTGAGATGGCCGATATAAACTACCACAGGTAAGGCTGTGAGAGTGTGCCTGTAGGTAAGAGCATGCACCTTCACAAATGTTTCGTACAACAATTAGAGAGATAAAGAAATTAGCTGGCTTTCTGTACTCGAATTATGCTTAAGGCAATCGTTGTAGCGTCCTTTGCCATTTACACAGTAGCAGCGATACATTAAATGCTTCTGCTTAGACTTGTAGGGGAGAGCGGGCACATTTTGTCTTTTGCTGAATAATTTTAAAAGTATTTGAGCAAGATTATCTTTTTTTATACAAGCAACCTACACATCTCTGCTACAAATTAGAGCATAAACCTTGTTTCCAGCGCTTAATGTTTGTGAACAGTTCAGCCAAAATTGACGGGAGTGCAGAAGTTACAACTTGCCACATACGCGGGTTTAATTGTAATGGACTGAGGCGGCTAGTTCTAACAGGCTAAGCAAAACAGAATTAATTCAATAGAATTATATGTTGTATGAAGCAGATGTGCTTTCCAACCTAAATGTATAAAGATGTATTCATCAAAATAAAAACAATTAATGACCAAAATCAGAAGAAAATTTCAGAATAATATACTTAAATTATAGTTTAATTGCAAGAGTATGTTTTAATGAATCTGTGCTTAAACAGTTCCCAAAAAGATTTACTATTTTGAATTTGTATGGGAGGATACAGACTGTTCTCATTTACTTTGGGAGACTCAGTTCTACTGCTTCGCAGCTAAACTATGGTTCTCATTTCACTTACAGTTGACTAGGGCAGATCTATCAGGGCAGAGCTTACATGTTTAAAGGTGGCATCTTATGATGAACACCATGAACAACATGTTCTCTTCTGGCCAACTAAAGCACTGACACAAGTTTAGATTAGTAAAAATCATGATTAAAATCTGAGAGAGTGAAGTCGAGCAGCTGCTGAAGGGACAGAAAGGCAAAACTGAACTTGTTCTGTGGTGTTTATATCTGTAGCCTGATAGCTAACTGATGCTAAGAGGAGGTTTAGAGGATAGCACACTGTTTACAGCAGAGTTTCTCAACCTGTGGGCCGTGAAGCACCCTCTAGTGGTCCGCAGGTCTGGAGTCAAGGAGTGGCATTAGTTTGTACTGGGCTAGTAACGTGGCTTTAAAGGGGAACTCCACCGATTTTGCAAAATTACTTAATCATTCAATAGTTTAGATGTGAACAAAATCTTTCAGAGTGGTTCGGTGTGAAATGGGCCTTTTTAGAGAAATTTACAGAGTCAGAATTGTTGCCATTATAGTACTAGGAACCAGACGTCTGAAGCATTTAATGGCTCTTAAAGGTACATCCCATTAAGTTATTACACAAAATGGTTATGATTGCATTGCTTGATACCTGAGACGTTGTTTTGTGATGGTTTTGTTATAAAGTTTTGGTCTAAAACGTATTTTTAATATAAAATATTACTCCAGGGTCAGTTCTGTGTTTCCTGTCAAAACCACATTCTCAACTGAGATCAGTGCGTGAGCTAACATGCTTTTGTAGTTACTAGCCTGTAGCTACAGCCATTCAACACAGCTAACGCTGGTGTTGTATCCGATTCAGTTCCCCCTCAAATTCACGTTCCCTTTAACAAATCAGTTCCTCGGGCGGCGCATTCACTGAACAGATAACAACACCAAGCAACACTGGAACTACAGAAAGCGAAAAGGTTCAAAAAAGGTTTGTATGGCGGCTGTGTTTACCCGGTCGGCCACAAACAGTACAAAAAGTGTTTATCAGTATGATTGTTTACTGTTTACTTGAATTGAAAATAATCACCGAATGCCAATTAGGGCAAATTATCTTGGGTGAATTTACATTGGGAATTGGGTGAAAACACGTGGCCGTCAAACTTTTTTGAAGTTTTACGCTTTCCGTAGTTCCAGTGTTGCTTTGGCATTGTTTTCTGCTCAGTGAACGCGCCGCCCGAAGACCTGGTTTGTCAAAGGGAATCTCAAATTTCTATGCCAGTGACAAAGAAGCAGATATCAGGTTTATTATTACTGTTGATTGTGACTTTGCTAATGTAAAAGCCCAGTGAGAGGAGTGTGGTTTGGCTATTTCATCCCAAGCCCAAGCAGTTAACTCTTGTGGCAAAGCCACTGGATTATTTTCAGTGAAAACATGACGGGCTGCATCTGTAAATCACAGTCCACATCTACCTCATACGTTTCTATCTGCCCCGCAGACCCCCCCGCCTTTTTTGTAAAATCACTGCGACCATGTTTGTTTATAAGTTATGTTTTTTGACATAACTGTGTTTTTGATTTCTGTGATTGAACCAGACTTTTTCAGGCCTTAATTTTGAGGTTTTCAGTGTCAGCACTTTGGGTGGAAAATGTTGAGAACCCCTGGTTTAGAGGATAGTGTGAAGTCGGCTGACTGGTGTTGGTGTGAAAGCTGGAATTGAACGTGTTCTGTCGTGTGTGCGGAGAATGTGTGGTTCTGATATGTGTAGCTGCTTGCCGTCTATCTGAGGTTTGTCCTGGCTCTGATTTCCCCCATTTTTCTGTTAGCGCCATCTATCGGTGAGCTCCCACACCACCAGTGAGTGAGCCCTGGAAAATCTAAATAGGTGGAATGTGTTTATTTATCCATACAGACATTGAATAGTTATTTGACACATCATAACTTTGAAATGGTGTCATCATTTTTAAATATTGCCATTTTTACATATCGCGGTATACAGTATTACCCTGATAGCAGCCACCACTAGCGTTCACATACTTTTGACTATGTAGTGTAAGGTCCATTTTGATGTCAGTTAGACTTTAAGCCTATTTTACTGTACCATGTTTAAATCTCTCTCCTCCTCCCCCCTCCCCTCTCCCCCCCCCCTCTCTCTCTCAGACTGAGTCCTCAGCTCTCCACGGAGGTGATGCTGGACGAAGTGAGCGACGCCATTCTGGTGGACATGCTGTGGGAGACGCAGATGTACCTGTACGAGAACAGAGAGATCATTCAGACCCTCGCCCAGCAGCTGCTGCAGCCCTGACTCCGAGGAGGGGCGGGAGGCAGAGAGAGTGACAGAGCGAGGTGGAGAGAGAGCGTTAGAGAGAGAGAGAGAGCGAGTGTGCAAGCGCAAGAAAGAGAAAGAGTAATGAGAGCATGTCTGATAGATGAGCCTGGTGCTACTCCGTTACGGCTGCTAGGATTATTTTGAGCATTGCCTCTTTCTCGTTCCAGCGCATTCCATAAAACATTCAGAATGTCAGGTTACACAAACACATTAAGACTGGGATTGGTCAGTAGACGCGCAGCGAGAGCTCCTCTGGGCTTCGTTAGAACGCTCATTTTCTCAGCAGCGCTGCTTATAATCAGAAACACTTGATCGGACACAGCAGGCCAGAGTGGAGTGCTTTCGTTGAAGCTTTTCACTACGGACTAATTGCGATGCAATTTCAATTAAAACTTGAATAACGAAGAAGGTCAGATAGCTTTGAGAAGGTAAAACAGGTTCAGCGGAGGGGATATTAAAGAGATTATTGAGCTGCGTGGTTTATCAGCCAAGCACGTGTGTCAGTTTTATTGATTGGGGTCAGTGTAAATCAAACCTGTTAAAAGAACATCTAGTATGATGTAATGCCCAAGCCAAGAGATGGTGCTTTGGAAGTGGTTTGTGTTTATTCTGTATATATACACCGATCAGGCCTAACATTCTGACCACCTCCTTGTTTCTACGCTCATTGTCCATTTTATCAGCTCCACTTACTATATAGGTGCAGTTTGTAGTTCTACAGTTACAGACTGTAGTCCATCTGTTTCTCTGCATACTTTGTTAGCCCCCTTTTACCCTGTTCTTCAGTGGTCAGGACCCCCATGGACCCTCACAGAGCAGGCACTATTTGGGTGGTGGATCATTCTCAGCACTGCAGTAACACTGACGTGGTGGTGGTGTGTTAGTGTGTGTTGTGCTGGTCTGAGTGGATCAGACACAGCAGTGCTGCTGGAGTTTTTAAACACTGTGTCCACTCACTGTCCACTCTATTAGACACTCCTACCTTGTCAGTCCACCTTGTAGATGTAAAGTCAGAGACGGTTGCTCATCTGCTGCTGCACAGTTTGTGTTGGTCATCCTCTAGTCCTTCATCAGTGGTCACAGGACGCTGCCCACAGGACGCTGTTGGCTGATAAAAACTCCAGCTACAAAGTGCGCCTATATAGTAAGTGGAGGTGATAAAATGGACAATGAGCGTAGAAACAAGGAGGTGGTCATAATGTTATGCCTGATTGGCGTATATACACACTGTAAGAAGTGATATCTTGATATCCTAAATCTAGTGAATCATTTCCTCATTTAATATTTCTCAGTTGAAGGTAATTGTATGAATATTATAAGATATTACAGGCGTTTTTCACTTGCAAGGGAGACTGTCTCATTCTTTTGGCAGATAATTGAGCTTGTTTTGAGAATTGATGTTTAAAACACATAATTATCTGCAAATAGAAAAAGGCAGATGAAATGTCGTAAATTAAGTAAATAAGTCAAATAATCTTATAATATTTTTACAGCTAGGGTTGGGCATATCAGCCAAATTTAATATTCAGATTTGTAAGGCATTATTAAAAAAAAATTAAAAATTTTAATTTCTTTCTCAGATCTTCAAATTGCTGATATGTGAAGAGTCATTCAGGGTGGTTTGTTGTGAAATGCTCCATTCGAGAGAAACCTAGAGTTAGAGTTGTTCACAGTGGTCGTGATAGGAACCAGACGTTTGAAGAGTTTAATGTATGTGGACCCTCTAGCGTTTGAGAAACCCCGGAAGACATTTCAGAGTAAAAAAATCTCCTCTCTACAAGTTCTCTTGTGCTCCTCCTCCGGTGTGTGGTAGCCCTAAGCCAGCTGCAGTAGTCTTTCCATGCTTCCTTATTTAAACAGATGAGAAAATCTGACCAAAGCGGAAGATGAAGGCTCTACACTGCCCTCTGGTGGAGGGTAGAGTTCAGAACTCTCAAGGTTCTTCAATGTGAGAAGGTGTAATGCTAAAGAGAAGCTGATTTGCATATCAGAAGTCCTATTTTATGACCTATCCTTAATGGAAACATACTTTTGTCTGTATGTAAATTGCACTGTCAAAAATGATGACGATGATGATGATGATGATGAAGGCTAATTCTAGAAAAGCGCTATGACCCTCAATTAGTTCATTTTAGGATGACAGAAAGGCTTGTTTGTTTGCTAACTTGAAATAATAGAGACCCTTATGTCTGAAGATTTGTCGTTGCTTGCTATCTGCTGTGGTCCAGTCAAGAATAGCAGTTTAGCAGATTATCATATGACTAGCCAGTAGCGCAAGACTGACTAGTCACATGTAAACATGTTGCTTATTGAATCATTAACCTGACAAAGGCCAAGTGGGTCACAGAAGCTAAAGATTGACCACATTCTAGCCCTGTTTAGTGTTTTCCTACCCAACATTCAGGTTCACCCAGACGCAGTACTAGGAGAACACTGAACTGAAGCATGCTGTGGTCATTCAGGATCCTGTAAAGGACTCTTAAAGGACTCTTCATGATCTGATTATTCTTACTACCCGTGTCTTGTTTTTGCCTTGTGAAAGACTCGCCTTGTATTTTTGTTTCTGTTATGTTATCCAGTGTTGTGTACTTGAATAACCCGAAGGCTGACTTGAACACCGTTGCATTATATATAGGCATTTTTTTTTTATACACACTCAAATGTGTGTTGCCAGTATATTACACTTTTTTTGTAAATTAAAACAAAAATAAGTGATGTTTTCATATGATTGATGACATAGAGCACTACAATACAGATTAACAGCCCTACATAAATGTTTATACATGCTCTTTCCAATCGGCGTCATTCGCTGTAAAGGTTACATTTACCAGTTTCGTAGTTAGCTAAAGTAGTCTTTATGACACATGATGCCTACTGGAATAACCATTTATAAACATTTGTGTAGGGTTATGTCAGCCGTCATGACATGATTATGTAGGTGTCATGAAGCCTTAGGAGCAGCACCCTACAGTAGTGTTAAGCAGTTTAAAGTCATATGAAAAAACAATTATCTTGACTGTAAGATTTTTGATGTATATATATAACAAAAATCTTACAGTCAAGATAATTGTTTTTATACATATATATATATATATATATATATATATATATATATCGTCATATACAGGCATCTGTTACAGTTCATACTGACATTTTGCAAAAATGATCAGGACTGGCATTATTGTGATAAATTAATGTATTATAAATTAATATGTGAAATGGCAGGGTTACAGAGCTATGGGCTTACTTTGGGCATTCTTCAAAGCTAAACTCGCAGATCTCATCACCTACACAGGACTAAGGCCTAAGTGTAACTTTCTGATTTAGGAGTTACTCATTTTCTGGATGGAAATTACTGACTAAACTCAAAACTGCCTCTGTTAGTATAATTCAGCTTCACTCTTTACTTGTTTATGTTTGTGTTTACCTCTGTTTCCTGTCTCTGACATTGTCGGTTATGTTGGTTTGTGTTTCGTTGGTAAGAGCCTGAATTGACTGTGACTTACCTTCACCTGTGTGACTGACTTAGCTTCACCTGTTTGACTGTGTTTTATATTCTATTAAGGCTGCACTGAATACAAATCTGTTCATTAAATATAATTTATATGAAATATAAATTTCTTCATTAAAAGAAGTAATTAATTCCTTTTCAGCCTGTGTTCAGTTGGATGATTGTATCTCTGGGTTTTAACACTGTGGAGAACTATTAAAATCGCCATAAGAATGTTTTTAGATGTGGATCATTCTACTGAATTGGGACTTTTAACTGACTTGGAGTTGAGACTAAAATGCTTTTGCTTGGAGTGACGCTGTACCTTACTTTTGTTTTATTAAAGCAAATGATTAAACATTCCATTTTGTCACTACAGAAACAGCTTGCAGAAATTGCAGAAAATGTGTTTCAGGAATGACAATTCTTAATGTTCCACACTGATTTTCAGACTTTGGGACACATTTACTTCAAAACAGTGGGATCTAACTGCTCACCATGTGGCCGTGAGGGACAGGGATGCAGTCTCACTTCCTGCTCTAAATTTCATGGGTGTGGTTAAAATAAGGCTCCGCCTACAGACTATAACTGTGTTTCGGTGGTGACATGAAAACGTGGGATGGAATTTTTTTACAAAGTTAGGATAAACCTAAATGTTTCAACTCTAAAAGAAATCAAAGAAGATCTTGTCTACATTGAGCTTATTACTGTCTCTATTAATGCATTGGGTTTAAATAGATCATAACACAATCATTGTAAATATCTAAGGTTTCATTGGTTTTTTTAATATTTTTTACTGTGGGACCGCAGATAGAACTAATTCCATAGAATGGTTTATATTCACACTCACACTCATGTAACTCATTTTTACTAGTAATAACTTAAATTTCATATGTAAAAATTGAAATTTTACTTGTAGAAAATACAATTTTACTAGTTTAATTGAATTATTACATGTAAAAATTTTACTGGTAAGAACTGACAAGAATTTAAATCCTGATATGAAAAATGTAATTTTCACTAGTGAAAAATACATTTTTGATATCAATAATTTTATTCTTACTAGTAAAAATTAAATTCTTGATATCAACAATTAAATTTTGACATGTGAAAATTAAATTTTCACTAGTAAAAATGTAATTCTTACCAGTAAAAATGTTTCCTCCATTAAAATTAATGGATTATCAATATTAAAAAATAATTTTGACTGGCAAGAACACAATTTTCTACTAGTAAAAACTTAAAACGTTATCAAAAATTACACTTTCACTAATAAATGTTACATTTTTGATATCAAGAATTAAATTTGTACTAGTAAAACTTCTACATGTAAAAATTCAATTATTACCAGTGAAAATTAAATTTTACATATGTAAATTGACTTCCTGATATTAAGAAAAATTGGATATGGACGTCCCTCAATTTAGCCTCGACATTTAATATTGTTTAGTAAAATAGAATTTTGAATTACATATGAAGTGTATTTTGAATTTAACTATTTTATTTGATTATATTAAGAATAATGTGGAAATAAACTGGAACAGCACAGCTTTGTTTTTACTGCACAAAGAAGAAATTCTTTAAAAGGGACTTCTTGACCTGCTGTTGGGGTGAGAAGCCCCCCCTATCTGGGATAAGAACACCCCTTGGTGAATCTCACATCAATTTGTCATCTAAGTTTTACAGTGTACTTTGTATTTTTCAAAATTTTCATTTTTAAAAAATATTTTTAAAAACATTATATTTCAAGATTAAACTGAGGCCTTTGCAAATGTATGTTCTAATCTTCATTTTGATAAACTAGCACAAGACAAAAGTGGTAGAAATACTTGGAATATAATTTTTTGTGCATTAATTACATTATTGTGAGTGTATTAATTATGTATTGATATGTACTCGTTTATTATCATTACTGTTGTTATTTTTGTTATTATTATTATTGTCAAATTAATAGCAACAACAGTTTAGATAAAGCAATAGCAGTCTGTATTTAAAATGTAAATGTTTAATGCTATTTCCTGTAAGTTACCCCACCACTTCTTCCAAAAAAGATTAAAGTAGTGTTTGCCTTAATCAATCAACGTACAGACTCAGCTGGCTAATTCACTGACATAGACCGTAAGTTTTACTGTTTTAATACAGTGTTAATGATGTGACACATGGAAAACTAGTGCAGTATCAGCAGCACCCTCTTGTGGAGAATCTTCAGCCTGCTAAACGTGAGTGAATGAGTGAGTCAGGTCTATGAGGTGCTTCACCTCTAAAAAGGTAAATACATAATGAAGTTATTACTCATTACTATTGTTAGCTGGCTAGCTTGTTGCTAACAATGCATGTTTTCATGATGTCCTTATTTTTTTACATTTTGTAGCATAAATGCCTGGAGGTTGAAAATTGCATAATTCTGAGCGTTTATGAAAGTAGAATCTTCCACCTTAAAATAACAGCACTTACAGTTGTCTAGGGCAGACTTAGCGTGGTAGAAATCTCACAAACTGACTTATGACAGTGCCATGTTGAAAGTCACTAAGCTCTTCAGTCTGCCATTCTACTGCCAGTGTTTATCTGTAAAGACTGCATGGCTGTGTGCTTGATTTCACGCAGCTGTTAGCGCTGGGTGTGGCTGAAACACCTGAACTGTAATTGGGTGGGGTGTCCACATACTTTTGGCCATATAGTGTATATCTATATCCTTTTATCAGTTTTGTTGACGCCAGCCTCGTCAATCTGTGTGCTCCAGTGAAATGAGTGTACTCTGAAAATTAGACTACCTTCTGCTTGAATGAAATTACTCTAGTGTTGCGTCCACTGCTGGTCCACGATGAGAAGCAACTTCAAAAGGCCGAAAAAATGAATTCTGGCTGGAGCTTTAAATAAATAATCATTAATGATTTGGGGCCACTTTTTTTCAGACGCAGATCAAACCTCATCACGAGCCTAAATGACTCTAATGGGAAATTCTGTAATTTAAATCGACGGCCTAATTTAGTCCAGGAGAATTTCTCTAATTTAAACCGACAGTCCAATTTAGTCCGAGACTAGAGGTGTTTAATTTGCCCCTTTAACGCTGATGTTATGAAGGGTCTGATAATTACCTGATGAGCTCTGCTTCAGTGCTGCTGGACTGTCCGTTCCTGAGCTTGACGGAGATTCAGCTACGTTGCCTCTCACTGAATGTTTTCACAAAAATCTTTGCAAACTGTTTAAAGTGAGCATGTTTTCATTTTTGAAAAAATAAAAAATATCATAACATATGAAACAGAAAGATATCATGAAAAAGCTCACTCAGACATTTGGAAAAGACTCGTGAGTTGAAAAGAAAACTTCAACTTCAACAAAATTCACTTCTTTTCTCTGATCAAATGAATTATCTGAACACATTTATTGACTGAGGTCTAATTCAGAAATTTCATCTTGATTAACACATTATGGGGTTTGTGTGTGTATATGTGTGTACCTATTCTATGTATTTTGAGTGTATATGTGTGTGTATATGGATGAGTATGTGTGTATTGTGTATGTATGCCTGTCTATGTATGTGTGTATGTCTGTGTGTGTATGTGTATATATGGGTATGTGTGTGTGCTGTGTGCATTGTGTATATGTGTGGGTGTTTATTCTTTGTGTTGTGTGCATATGGGTGTGCATTATGTGTGTGTTTATTCTGTGTATGTTGTGTGTATATAGGTGTGTCTGTATGTGGGTATGTATGTGTCTGTGTGTGTATTGTGTATATGTGTTTTTTCTTTGTGTTGTGTGTATTGATGTGCATTCTGTGTCTGGGTATTGTATGTGTCTCTGTGTGTTGTGTGTGTGTTTTGTGTGTATGTATGTGTGTCTGTATGTGGGTATGTGTGTGTCTGTATGTTTGTGTGTGTATGTGTTGTGTGTGTGTGTGTATATAAGTATGTGTGTGGCTGTGTGTCTGTGCGTGTGTGTGTTGTATTTTCTGTGTATGTGTTGTGTATTCTGTGTGTGTGTGTTGTGTGTGTGTTGTGTATTCTGTGTGTGAATGTGTGTGTGTGTGTGTGTGTGTGTTGTGTATATGGTGTGTGTGTCTGTGTGTGTGTGTTGTGTATTCTGTGTGAATGTGTGTGTGTGTTGTGTATTCTGTGTGTAAATGTGTGTTTGTGTGTTGTGTGTATATGGTGTGTGTGTCTATGTGTGTGTGTTGTGTATTCTGTGTGTAAGTGTGTGTGCTGTGTATTCTGTGTGTGAATGTGTGTGTGTGTGTTGTGTATATAGTGTGTGTGTCTGTGTGTGTGTGTTGTGTATTCTGTGTGTGTGTTGTGTATTCTGTGTGTAAATGTGTGTGTGTGTGTGTTGTGTATATGGTGTGTGTGTGTGTGTTGTGTATTCTGTGTGTGTGTGTTGTGTATTCTGTGTGTAAATGTGTGTGTGTTTGTTGTGTGTATATGGTGTGTGTGTCTATGTGTGTGTGTTGTGTATTCTGTGTGTGTTGTGTATTCTGTGTGTGTGTGTGTTGTGCATTCTGTGTGTGTGTGTGGGTATTGTGTGTATATGGTGTGTGTCTCTATGTGTGTGTTGTGTATTCTGTGTGTAAATGTGTGTGTGTGTGTTGTGTGTGTATGGTGTGTGTGTGTGTCTGTGTGTGTGTTTGTTGTGTATTCTGTGTGTAAATGTGTGTGTGTGTTGTGTGTGTATGGTGTGTGTGTGTGTGTGTGTGTTGTGTATTCTGTGTGTGTGTTGTGTATTCTGTGTGTGTGTGCTGTGTGCTGTGTATTCTGTGTGTGTGTTGTGTATTCTGTGTGTGTGTTGTGTATTCTGTGTGTGTGTGCTGTGTATTGTGTGTGTGTGTGTGTCTGTGTGTGTTGTGTATTCTGTGTGTGTGTGTGTGTGTGTGCTGTGTATTCTGTGTGTAAATGTGTGTGTGTGTGTGTGTGTGTGTGTGTGTGTTGTGTGTGTATGGTGTGTGTGTCTGTGTGTGTGTGTGTTGTGGTGGAGAGTGTCAGTGTTATTATCAGGTAAAGTTGCACTTGTCCAGGTGTGATGGTGGAGCTCAGGTGGAGCGAAGCTTCCTGCCAGCCAGCAGCTTAATAATTCACCAGCTGAAGGTGTATCAAATACTCTCTCTCTCTCTCTCTCTCTCTCTCTCTCTCTCTCTCTCTCTCTTTCTCTCTCTTTCTCTCTCTCCGTCTGTCTCTTTCAGTGTCTCTATCTCTCCACTATGATACTAGGTGATAACAGTGAGTTGAAAAGACCAATTACAGAGATAGGCTGAGCGCATCATCACTCAAACAAGCGCACACATACACACACATACACACACCCTGACCCAGTGTGCGGAGTGTTTGCTGCGGAGACATTAGAGCTGAATAACTGCTGCACAGACGCAAACTTTCACCATCACAGGTACTTTCCAGGTTCACTAAGTACATTTTTAACACTGCAGTCTGTTTTTGTCTCTGAGGCTTTTTTATGTGTTCTTGTGTTCACTGTTAGATTCATCATGTCTGGAGCGAACAGTGACCAGCTGCACAGGTCCACTCTGACCATCTACTCAGTGAGTCCTGTTTTCAACATTAGACTAATGCTTAAAGAAATGTTAAATGATGAACATTTTCTTCCATATGAACATGTAGTAGATCAGAATGTATGGCTGATATAAAAAAATATATAGAAAGTCCTCACAGTGTTGAGTAATATAAACATAAAAATAATTAAACCAATTGTGTTACAGATACAAAATGAAATTCTAAAAATTTCAAACAATGTGTAGCTGGAAAAATAAAGAAGTTTGATGTAATTTTTGTATATAATAACTAACAAAGCTGTATAGTTTTGAGAATGAAATAAAATTAATATCCAGAATGTCTCAAATTTGTCCAAATCTCTCTGATTTAAAACCATTTATAGTTATTTTGTGTAAATAGAAATGACTATAAATAAATCATTACAATTTAATTTTAATAGTTTGATATTATTTAATAACATTTTCTATGTTTTTATTCATAGTTCCCTTTTTTTTACAATTGTGAATACGTTTTGGTGCGTTTCAACCAGCCAAGTACAAAATATTCATTTTTCAGAGATATATTTGAGAAGATTAGATATAACAGTTCACCTACATAAGGAAGGGGAAAGTCAAAGGAAAATGTGTAAAAAAAGTGTAAAGTAAGTTTCCAAATCTGGGGTTCAAAAATTATTAAAAGCTACAACCACCCGAAAAGTCCAAGAAACCTCACTGGAAAAAAGGAAATAAACACATAAAACAAAAAAAGCCGCTGATGTTCTCAGAACAGTGAACTGACCACACCAGAGTCCAGACTTCAACATCACTGAATGCGTTTGAGATTTCTTGAAATAGAAAATGCAACCACCCACAAAGACTGAACTTTAGTTAGTGTATTGTATATTAGACTGGTTCATATATTGTATTTTAGAAATGTAGACTGGTTAATATAGTGTATATAAAAAATGTAGATTGGTTAGTAAATTGTATACTAGAAATGTAGACTGGTTAGTGTATTGACTTTTAGAAATGTAGACTAGTTTGTATATTTTATGTTAAAAATGTAGACTGGTTATTATATTGTATATTAGACATGTAGACTGTTATGATATTGTATATTAAAAATAAGACTACTTTGTATACTGTATATTAAAACTGTAGATTGGTTAGTAAATTGTATATTAGAAATGTAGACTGTTATTATTTTGTATATTAGAAATGTAGACTAGTTTGTATATTTTATATTAAAATGTAGACTGGTTAGTATATTGTATATTAGAAATGTAGACTGTTATTGTATATTAGAAATAGGACTAGTTTGTATACTGCATATTAAAAATGTAGACTGGTTAGTGTATTGTATATTAGAAATATAGACTAGTTAGTATATTGTATATTAGAAATGTAGACTGGTTCATATATTGTATATTAGAAATGTAGACTGTTGTGATATTGTATATTAGGAATAGGACTACTTTTTTATATTGTATATTAAAAATGTAGACTAGTTTGTATATTGACTTAGAAATGTAGACCAGTTTGTATATTTTATATTAAAATCTAGGCAGGTTAGTATATTGTATATTAGAAAGGTAGACTGTATTGTATATTAGAAATAGGACTAGTTTGTATACTGTATTTTTAAAAATGTAGATTGGTTAGTAAATTATATATTAGAAATGTAGACTGTTGTTATATTGTATATTAGAAATGTAGACTGGTTGGTGTATTGTATATTAGAAATGTAGACTGTTACTATATTGTATATTAGAAATGTAGACTGGTTGGTGTATTGTATATTAGAAATGTAGACTGGTTCATATATTGTATATTAGGAATGTAGAAGGTTAATGTAGTGTGTTTGTGTGTGTGTTAGAATCTGATGGAACAGTTCAACCCTGGCCTGCAGAAGCTGGTTACTTTAGGAAACAACTATGTGAAGGCTTTTCAAGGTGAGGGCAAGAGTGTGTTTGTGTGAACCCCCCATACATGGAGACAGAAATCCTCCCCCACCACCACCACCACCACCCCGTCCACACAAAACACACACATTCTGAACCTAAATGTCTTTGCGAGTGAACTGATGTATATTTGATGTCTGCGCGCTCATTGTAAACACCATTACTCACACCAATAGCAATGTGATGCCAAGGCCCTGAGCTATTTCTGTCCCAAAATCTACGTGTCTTCTGTGTCGCAGCCTTGGCGTTGACAAGTGAGGCCTATTTCAGTGCTCTGGCGAAGATGGGAGAGCAGGCCCTCCGTACGCTCTCCTCTCGCTCACTCGGTAAGAAACGGAAAGTGTGTGTATGTGTGTGAATGAAGGTCATTGATCCGTCCACTCAGCAGCACGTTTATGACCACGCTGCATCGCTTGTCCTTTAAAGAATTCCCCAAAAATAAAGGCGTCAGCCAGCGCCAGTGTCCAGCTACCGCCTGGCAAACCCTCTGCCCAGCGGGAGCTTAAATCAAAGGAAAGGAAACAAATTTAAAGTTTCCCCCCAACATAAATGTTATTTATAAAGATGAACAAGAATATGTTGAATATCAACAGCCATTAAAATATGAAGGCTGTTTTTTTGGATTTGGAACTGAATTCCCACAGTAATGTTTTTGCACTGAATGGAAATAAGAAGTCATGCCAGTGAGTTGGTCCTGAATAGTCTCCATATAAACCACTGCCAATTTCAAGCTAATTAGTTGTTTCCTCGACTTGTTTCCTAAACCAGAGTGTGACCCGCCAAAATGTTACCTTAGGTCAAACACTCTAAATGAGACAACAGATTTTAATACTATTTATTTTATTAAATTCTATTCAGTTCAACCTTTATTTAAACTAAAGAGAAGTCTTCATTTTCCATATAGCCAAGAAAAGATAAATAAAAACAATAAGCCATTTGTAACATATGTAGGAAATTGAACAAAAAAATTATAGTAAAAACGAAAGAATAAAATAATTAAATATTAAAAGTCGATAATAGTATACGTACATAAAAAAGATGACCCAAACCCATCAACTAAAATAGGTACAAATTAAGGAAAAATAGGGAAAAATTAAAAATAATGTAATAAATCCTTAATTTTTGTTAAAAATATGCATTGTGAAGTGTTTTAGTAAAAAAAGGTGTATAAAGTCATGAAAGAAATTTCTAAATACTTTTTGAAGTTTTGAAATCCCTTCTTCATTTGTATATTTTTACATTTTGTGGCCCCTGGCCCACCCCAAATATTGCACTTTGGCCCCCCCAGGACAAAAAGTTTGGGCCCCCCTGCTCCTAATTTGCTATCTAATGTCTATTTTAAGGCTTCCACTTCATGATGTAGCAGAACATTTGGCACCTGGAAAATGGAACTGTTCTTGTTCTACTGGCAAATGGTCCAGAACTGAAGGTTCCATTTTTAGGGGTTGCTCAAAATTTGTACAAACAGTGCCTAATGGTGCTTTATGGTGGGGCTAACAGCCCTGATCCTTGCTGACTGATTAAGCACAGCATTATTTTAAAGGCATTTTAACAAAATACAGTTCAAAAATCAGAGAAAACAGATCTGTGGAACAATGAAGAGGTGCAGGGATTGTTGCATAAGTAGGACTATTGCAATTATGAGACGACTTAACACCTCAACACAGTTTGAAGCACAGATATGAAGATGCAGGCATGAAGCAAACTGGACACTAAACATGAATTGGCTGGTCAATTTGGGGTAAAAGGAAAATAGTTTAAATTTGATTGTTCAACAAACCTACTTAAATTCCTTTAGGTGTCTTAGGGCTGAGTTTAAGGAAGCATTTAGTGCTGGACGCTGAACACTGGAATGGAGGAGTCATTTGGGTTGGCTTGTGTTGGTACTGAATGCTGAGGTGTACACTATGCAGATGAGACATTGTTGTGTTAATCTATCACAAGTTGTATGGTTTTAGATTACGGATAACTCATAATGATAAGAGCCTGTGTATAATAGGGAAGAAAAAACAGCAAGAGAAGTGTGTGTGTAAAAGAGCGAGAGCAAGGGAGTGATGGAAAGAGAGAGAGAGATCAGGTGACAGCATGATCGCTTTGGCTGAATAATTGAAGTTGAGTCGTCCGCCCCCTCGCTAATGTCTGCTGACTGTAAGTCAAAATTGGAGAGAAAAACTCAACCCTACAGGCTCCTATATGGAGCCAAGGGAATATGCTGTATTTGTTTATTCAGATATGATTAAAACAATAATAGGTTACAACTTAAAACGTATTTCACCAGTCAGGCTTTTAGGAAGTCAAGACCTAAAATAAGGGGCCATAATATAATAAAGCAGCTAGTTAAACCCTTTGCTCCCCTTAGAGTAGAGGCCATCTGTAATGTAGGGGCTGAGGCAGGTTGCAAGTGCAAAGTGACTTTATTAGAGGCATTCCGATGCTCATTGTCATAGCAGGCAGGGGTCAACACACAGGCAGGCAGGACAAGATGCAGTTCCATACTCAGACATAACAAAGAGAGTCAGGGATCAACACCAAAGAAAACACAAAAAACAGGCTCAGAACTTAGGTGATGAACACAGCGACTGAACAAACACCAAAACAAAGCGGTATACAAAGGTGTGTGGGAGAGGAGGAGAGTGGGGGAGCCAGGTAGAGGCCAAGTTGAGTCTCCCCAGAGGGGAGGTACGTGACAACATCAGCAGTGGTCTTCCAGCATTGTCTCTTCTGTGCTGCCATTACCAGTTGTCTCCACCCAAAGCCAGTCTGTCATCTATATGAATCTTTCCTTTTCAGCAGTTCCTTGGTTTCCCTGCTTGCTTTTCCCTTTGGATTTCTTTGTCAGGTCTTGCCTGGCAATGTGAAGGTGGGTACAAACAACCTCCATTCCTTCTTTAGAAGTTTGGTCTTGTTGTTTGTTGCCGCGAATTAGTGTTGCTGATGGTTTCTGGCCAATAGTGATTTGGAGGATTCTCTGCAGGGATTGGTTGGTGAAGGTCTAGATCAGGGGTGCTTAATCATGGTCCTGGAAGTTTACCTTTCTTGAGAGTTCAGATCCAACACAACTGACTCCAATATTCAGACACCCCTGAAGGCCTTCGTTACCCGAATCAGATGTGATAGATTGGGGTTGGAGCTGGCAGTAGGTTGGAGCTGGCTGATGGGACAGTAGATCTCCAGCACCAGGATTGCGCAACCCTGTTCTAGATCATCATCAAGGGTTTTTGTTTTTTTGGTTAGGTCCATAAAGAATCGGGGTCCACTGGGGTGATTTTTACCCAATTTAGTCATGGCCAATTTCCACCACTAGTTAGGTCTCCTCCTGTCATGCAATACCAAGCTGAAAGGGTAAAGACACCAGCCACAGATGCCACATTGGCTTGCATCATGCTGGCAGGACCATCTTATTCACCCAGAGAGAGCGAGGTCAATTATGTCTGCTCGGTCTCCCGGCCACAGATGGCTGTGGCATCTCTGGGGATCAAACTTGCAATCTTCCCAATGAAAGCACCAACGCTTAGATGGTTACACACACAGCTGCCCACTGATTGATTGAACGGTGGTGTTAAACAGACATATCTTGGTATGGTGGCTAATTTCTTTGGAGCTTCTGATGGTTCCAAGTTCTGGAATTTCTGGAGAGGAGACACTCTTGCTTTGCTGATACATGTCAGCATCAGTCCCAATTAGTTTGTCCACTATGCTGCCAATCATTCAATCTTACTGGTTCATCATAGCTGTCATTCACCTTCAGAAACTTTGTCTTATATCTATTGATGTTGGGATCCACTGTTTGGAGACTCTGAGCAGGTACCATCTGCATCTCCTGGGGGGATATCAGGCAGAAAAACAAGGTCATAAGCAAACTCTGGGTTGCCAAGTTGGTTTCAGGGGGTCTGTTGGATTCCATTCCTTGTTCTGCTGGTGACTGTCATCTTGATCCATGACCAAGAGAAACAGGAATGGCGATTGAAGACATCCTTGTCTCGCTCCTGTCCTGGAAGGTCTCACTGAGTTGCCTATCATACACCAATCCCTGAAGCATTCCAAATCAAGTTAATCTTCATGAGAATTCCTTTGTAATGTAGTAGCTTCCATCTCTGTCTATGCTGTCAAACACTTTCTCACAGCCCACTAAGCTGATGTAAAGCAAGGACTCCCATTCAATGGATTGTTCCACTGTGATGCAACAAGTCTCCATCTGGTCGGTGCATGATCTGTCCTGCCCGAATCCTGCTTGCTGATCTTGTAGCTTCTAATCAAATGGTTGCTCCAAGACTGGTCTTTCCAAGATAATCCTGTTAAATATCTTTCCAAGGACAGACAGGAGCGTGATGCATCCATACTTGTTAAGGTCACCCTTCATTGTAAACTTGATCAAGTAGCCTTCTTCCTAGTCTACTGGGATCTCCTTTTGCTACCATATTTTCAGACTATTTAGAGCATTGTGTCTGGGTCTGGGTCTGCCTTCCAGAAGTGCCTCCACTGGGACAAAAAAAGATTTTGAAGCACCATTTTTGATTCCCTTAAGAACCTTTCAGTGGACGATTCTATAAAGAGTCATTTTTGTGAATGATGTGAAGAAGCTTTTTAAAGTTTAAAGAACCTCCATGAAATGTAAAGATTGTATGCCAGTTGAAGGTTTCTCTTGGAATCATACATTCAAGTCAATCAAGAATCATTTACCTTCCTTTAGTTTTAAGAATGTTTGTGCCTTACCATTCTGTAGAGCATATGCCTTCGCTTGTTTTGCTTTCTCAGTTTCCTGGATGTTTGTTGTTTGTTTTATTTTTCTTCCTCTCTTGATTTTATTAATGCAAATTTACCTTCCAAAATGTGATATAGTCCCAGAAAAGCTTTGGTGGTAAAAACTCTAGAAATAAAAAGCAAACTATCTAAGGAAAATACAGTCAATTCAACATCGTTTCCTGCTCAATGAGAAGGTTAGAAAACAAAAAATGAAAATATAGTTATATACAAAGCTGTATACAAGGTTCATTATTTAGCAACCTCCAGCAAACTGGTACACCTAACAAGTTTATTTGGTCTGGATGGTGATGGCTGAACAGGTAGCACCCCGCTGCCACAAAGACCAGGATGATGTCCAATTAAAAAGACAGGCCAAGTAACGACAAAGAAAGACAACACAAAAACAGACATGCAAGCAACCATTGGGTCATAACGCTACTGAACTGAACTCCTAGCATTCTACTGTACCTTCCAGGGCTTGTAATTGCTTGTTGTCATCAAAGATGACATCTTGTTTTTACGTGGCCTTCAGTTAATTGATTGATTCATGTTTTTAGTTTCCTATGTCCAGTTTCATTTCATTAATTTATAGGTTGATTTATTGATTGGCAGGTGATGTGCTAATCCAGATTTCGGAGACCCAGAGGAAGCTCACGGCAGAGGTGGAGGGATTGGTGAGTGGCTTTTTCACTCGCACTTGGTCTGAATTTATACATTTGGCTTCTAAATCTGGTATTTCATTAGCAGGTCCAGATTTTTTGTAAATGTGTAAATGTATAACTGCTTTCACAATTATTGTGTAGACAGTTTATCTATTGTGTTTATGTACTGTGTGGTTGCGGATGGGGGAGTATAACTAGATGTATGCAACAAGATATTCTACCAAAGTGAGTTTGCGAGCAAAGTGTAAATATTTCTGCAAATATTGTGAGAAGCACTGCAAAACAAGCATTTTAGTCTGCAACGATCACAAAGAAATGGTTCAAGCCAAGAGACTCCCATTCTTTTGCAGCCCACAAGAAGATATAAACAGCCTGACTTCAAATGAAAGCAAATATGACACACTTATCAATGTGGCCAATCACATTTCACTTTAATGTATAATCAACCCAATAAACACCAAACAGATCCTCAAAATTTCTGTTTGTAGCCATTTTTTTCATAATGAATGAATTCCATATGATCCAAAAGAAAATACATTTGAGCACCTCTAGTCAAATTACATTTTTGCTGATTTTCTAGGTGAAAATAAATAAGCACATCCTCTACAGAGAACACATTTTAATTTGACACACACAGTATCTAAGCTGCTTACATTGACACCTAGGGGCAGTTTAGTATCTCCAACTGGCCTGCATGTCTTTGGACTGTGAGAGGAAACCAACACAGACACAGAGAGAACATGCAAACTCCACAGAAAAGACCCTGATCGCCTGGCCGGGGAATCGAACCCAGACCCGTCTTCCCTGAAAATGTGCAGAAGGGTGTTCTCTGTAGAGCATGCATTAACCTATTTTCACAAAATTTACCAAAAACATGCCATTTGACCAAGGGTGCCCAAACTTTTGCATTCAACTGTATCTCGCTAGCAGTGTAAGTGCATTTTGTCAGACCAATCACTGAGCTCAACCTGAACATTTAGTCATTTTTGATGTTTTCTCATACTACTACTACTACTACTACTAATAATAATAATAATAACTTCGTTATATATATATAAGTTTCATGGTTTAAAGAACTAAACAGCCCCTGTAGCGGCTCAGCTTGGAAGACCGTGGCCCACTTGTTGGAAACCACCGGTTTAAACAGTCAAGGATATTGATGCAAACATATGAGAACCTCAAGCATGACAGCTTCTTGGAAAGAGGGCAGTTTGAATCCGCTTCCAGCAGTTGGTCAGTTCATTCAGTACGTGTAGCTGTTTGCTTAACTGTTGTGCTGTATCGCCTGTGCAGTTCCGCTGGTTTCATGTGGAGGTGCTTCAGGCGCTGGACAAGAACGTGAAGCTGGATGAGGAGTATATAGACGTGAGTATTATCATGCTGCATGTCTGACAAAGTGCACTCATAGCAGGCCAACAGAAAACCATGATACACAGAATGCTAAAAGAAGAGTGGGTGTGTTTGTGTGTGTGCAGGGCAGCAGGAGAGTGTATGAGCTGGAGGTCAGGAATCAGGCCGCAGCTTTGGAGAGGCAGTTGAGAAGAGGAGCTTACAGAGACTCTCTGGTGAGACTGCACTTGTGTGTATGCGTGGGCGTGCAGTAGATTTAAAAGAGTTTGAGGGCTTTTTGTAAGCATGTTTTTTTGTTTTTTTTTGTGGAGCAAAAAGATCTGTGATGCGAATTCCCAGAATGAAACACAGCATTAGGGCTGAAACGATTAGTTGAGAAAGTCAGTTAGTATAAAAATGTCAATGCATCATTGATTTAAACAGCGTTTCATAATGCTCTCTAATGTTCGTATGATATGTGTGATGGTGGTACCTGTTAGTATTTTGAGTGCTGTTAGTTATGGAACAGATTTGTCTCATATTCCACAGTTATTATTTTTAAGTTGCATTGTCACCCTACATTCTGTCTTGACTCCAGCCTCTTCTATTGTATAAAGTTAAAGCTGCGCTGTGTAAGATTTTTTGTTAATACTGAAAAAAGTAGCATTACTGGGTCAGGACAGTTTTGACTGAGTTCTCTCATCCACTTGGGGAAGGGGCCCGAAGCACTACCCACAAAGGACGAGGCTGGGAGATTCGGATTGAAGATTAATGGAAAGAAGACTGTGGTCATGACTGTCAACGGCTCCCCAGCTACTGGGGATAGATGGATTGACTCTAGAACAAGTACATCAGTTTAAGAAAAGAAGGTACAGCAGTGGTGGACATCGCCCACAGGATTGGCTTAGCAGCTACCGCCTTTGGATCGCTGAACTGGTGTGTCTGGAAGAAACGCACGATGTCACGCACCACCAAGATGCAAATATACCGATCAATTGTCATATCGATCCTGCTTTATGGTGCGGAATCTTGGACCATTCTGGGAGTAGATCTTAGGAGTATTCCATATGCGCTGCCTTCGTCGGATCCTTGGTGTGTCGCTGACGGACCGAATTCCTAATGAAACTTTCCGTCGACGATGTTGCGTTCAGTCCTGACCGAAATCTGAATGGTTTGGACACATATGCGAGAAACCAACGATTTCTGCCTGCCTTATACAGCACTTTCGAGACGAAAGATGAAAGATACAACCACGGGCACCAAAGAAGATATGGCTCGACCAAATCATCAAGGATCTAGCACCGTCAGGAATCTCATCGGAAGAGACCCAGGAATGCGCAACCCATGACCGAACAGAATGGAAGAACATCTGCGATTTCGTATGTGAAGGCGACTTCCTTGCAGCACACTCAGTGTCATACGACCTTTGGTCAAAGTGGGCACTATGGGACGAAAATGAATGAATGAATGAAAGAAATGAATGAATTTTCCCTCCTTTATAATGCCTTTGATAGAAGTCATAACGGTTAGCTCCGACTAATTGAATAAAAGTCCATAGTAAGCCAACAGAATATAATCACCTATGCAAATAGTTCCATATATCACTACAATTTTTAGGTTGCGGGGGGGAAACAAATACATACTGTACTTTACCCTGTGTGCTCGTGTGTACAGGAGGGCAGTGAGTACATGCAGTATCTGAGGCAGAGTCAGCATGAGATCCTGAGAGAGGAGGAGAGGAGGTACCGCTTCCTCGCTGAAAAACACTGCGGGTTGACACACACGCTGCTGTTCCTCGTCAACAAGGTAAACCAGGGTTGTGAATCTCCGACCTCACAACAATTCAAACTGATTCCCGTTCTTTAGGAAACAATCTAGTGCATCAGGAAATCTCAAATTTTACAATTACTCAGTTGAAACTACATGTGTATGTTGGGGGATCTCAGCTTCGATCACCGGCGATGCCACAGCTATCCGTGTCTGAGAGTCCAAGAGATCAACAGTCCTCTCTCTTTCTGAGTGGGTAGGATGGTCCACTCTCTCCCTACCATCACTCAGTGTGATGTTAGCCAGTGTAGGCGTCTATTAGCCGATGTAACAGAATTGGCGGTTAGTGTTCTCCTCTAAGTGTGTTGAGCTCCAGTTTGAAAAGATGTGGTGGAGCGTCATGTGTCTCGGAGGAATCTTGTCTGGCCTTCACCCTCCCAGTTTAGTAGCATTGTAGACTTAGCTAACAGTGGGAAGTGGACGGTATTGGCGCTGATACTGGCGTTTATATATGCAGTATCAGTATTTTTGATGGGGTACCGATACCCATGGCCGACACCACAAACCAATTTCTGATGCGTGCATGTGCACTGGTAGACAGAACTTAACAACACGTCGGTGGTGTGGGATGACAAGCAGCAGCAATAAAAATCTGTAACGGCAGTATTTCGTGGGAAGAACACACAAACAGGAACCCCTCACCTGAATTTCTGGGCCAGTCTTCTTTCAGCAATCACTCATCTGCTGCTGTGTAGTCACTTACAGCCTGGGTTAATGCTAGTGCAGATTGTTATTGAGGGAGCGGAGGGACTCTTGGCATAATGATAGCTTTTACACTTGATTTAGCCTTTAGCATATCAGCCTGCTAGCTGGACTAGTGTGTCCACTAGCCCTGCCTGTGGTGCGCCTCCATTGGACAGCTGTATCACACAGGAGCGGGCCCTATGCTTCAACCAAGCTGGGAAAAATGGCGAAAAACGTCACTGCTACCAACCCCGTGAACGACGATGATACTTAGTCAAAGATGTAAGCACGAGTGAACCAGACGCACATATGAGACAAATGACTTGAGAAATTTGGAAAAGAAGCAACATTTAGCTCCTTTTTTGAGCCAGAGAAACTGCTGTATGCTCATGTGTACAGACCCCAGGTTGATCTATATATTACTCAGTTCTACTTTTTAACTATTTTGGACAATAAATATATTTTACATTTACATAGGTTGTTGAACATTGTTCTTAATACTAATTATGTAATGGTATACACTAAATATATACAGTAAATAAACAAAATAGTTTTTCTTAAGCTTCAAATATATGTAATTCAACAAGTAAATGCCATTATGTCAAGCTGAGTGTATTTCATTTGTGTCACAGAATATAGATTTTACCAAAATAAAACATTTAAAATTAAAATGTAATTGTATAAATATAAGGAATTAGACTAACTAATAGAGTTAGTATCTGTATCGGTACTCGGTATCGGAATATATTTAAGGATCAGGTATCGGTATCGGTATTGCAAGCGAAAAAGTGGGATCGGTGCATCTCTACTTTTTATGTCTTTGTTGTTGCTGTGCTTTGAGAGAGACATAGGGTAAATCTAAGGGCTCTGTTCTGACTAGCTGTCCTGTATGTAGCCTCAATATAGGGCAGCCAATCAGAACAGAGGTCATTTACATATATTAGTCATAAAGCCTGTTCCGACGCATAAATAGGGGCTTTAAAAAAGTGTTATGGCTGTTTTTGGTACATGGAACTACACAAATGTTATAAGTATACTTAAAGGGAAAACGTAAAGGACAAGAAATTAGTAGGAAATGGACTCTTTAAAGTATCAATACTTCCTCATTTCCTCTTCTCATCTTCCTCTCCACAGCATCCTGACTGAGTGTTGATGTATGTGTTGTCAGACAGGGGCATCTCTGCAGCAGAAAGCTGAGGGCTGGAAGGAGAGAGTGAACGAGAGCCGGAGCTCCAGACCTCGAACTCCTACTCCGCTAGAACAGGACGTACTGGTGACCATTAGAAGCTTATATCCAACCATTGCAAACCACTGCATGCCCCACCAGTTTATACACCTTTACATTGCTGAGTAACCTCAAATGGACTTGCCTGTGTGGTTTCTGCTGACATGCTGTGTTGCAAAGCTACAGCAGAGACAGTATCTTGAAGCTTCAGAAGTATCTGAATTGTGTAATTTCAGTTAGTTTTATCTGTGTTTGTAGGTAACAGTATGCCACGCAGTGTCAGGAGCCACATGAGAATGTCTGCATACTTCCAACATCATTCAGGGGGGTTTGATGTGAAATGGGTCATTGTAGAGATTTCCTTACAGTGGTGGTGATGGGAACCAGACGTCGCCATGTCTGCAACACAAATATAGCCATTTTATTTAAAAGGGAGCTTTTAGAGGTGGACGTCTGGTTCCTATCACCACCACTGTGAACAACTCTGACTCAGTAAGTTTCTCCAGAACGGAGCATTTCACACCAAACCACTCTGAATGATTTTGTTTACATCTTAATGACTTAATAGTGCAGAAATTTTGAAAAAATCAGTGGAATTCATCTTTAATAACACAAAACAGTTTGAGGCAAGTGTGTGGTGGTTTAGGTTTCAATGTGCTAACTGGTGGGTATAATTTTCCATTACTTTTTAGCTATATTAGCCTTGTAGCTCCACTTCAAGCAAACTACAACACCAAACGTGGCTGGCTGATCAACTACATTTAGCTTAAATGGAAAATGGTGTACACATAGATATACATACCTAGATGCCACGTTGGGTCCAGCCAGGCACATCAACGGCGCTGCCATTTTGGGGCGGTCAACATCGCTGCTGGACTGCGTTCAGTACCATTACAGAGCGGCAGTTAAAGAAAGATACTGTCCAAAATTACACTGTTTAAAGAATATTACACTCAGAAAGTGGGATAGGATTATATAACGGAGGGAACGCAGTGACCCACGCTCATGTCTGTGTGATGAGTATTGTTTGTGTGATGTTTATGTAGATATGGCCGTGTACATTTGATTTTGCACCTAGTTATTCCCTCAGTTCAGCTCTATCATAGGTGCTCGTTTAGTATGACTGTGGACCGACTATGTATTCAACACCCCTCTGTCTCTCTCTGTCGTCAGTTGAGGACGTCTGTGAACTCTCTCCTCCAGACCGGAGATAATGTGGACATGTGGGCAGGGAAGGATCACCAGCTGCTGGGCAGAGTGCCCTCTAGAGGTGGGAATACTCATGTGCAGCCATGCACCCCCATGTTCACTCTTTGAAAAAAAAACCTGATCCTTTAAGGGACGCGGTGTCCACCATTACCTGCACATTACCAGCCGACTACACTAATGAGCTCTTCTCCTTAACAACCAAAGAAATGTCCTAGTTAGTAAGATTCAGGTTTTGTATTACATAGTAGGATCAAATATCTGTGGACATCTTTAACGAACAGGTGACACAGCAGTCTGAAGGTAAACCAAACCCAGCTTTCTTCAAGCTTTCAGTTTGTTTGGAACTACTGCTTAACAAAACACTAAAGGGCTAATGAGAAACTGTAGCACACGACTCAAAATGTATATATTTAGGGTACAGTTGTTTTTCTTAGCTTCAGATATTGAAAACATTAATATCTGAAGTTAAAGTTAATTATGCACTTTAAATGTATTTAATTTGTGAGTTGTGCTTTGCAGTTTCTCGTTCCATGTTGCTAATATTCTCTAAGGCTTGTCCAACCTAGCAACAGTTGTTATGAAAGAACTCGTGTGGGTGGACATTGATTAAATATCATGCCGCTTATTTGAATTCTCACTCTGTCTCTGTCTCCCAGCACCCTCTCCTCTTCCGAGTCGTTCTCGTTCCAGCTCGGTGGGCGAGTCTCTCGGTCTTGGAGGCGGCCAGCCAATGAGAGCGCTCGTTTCTCACCCCGCCTCCTCCAATCCGGTGCTGCTGCCATTCTCCAGCGGTGAGACGCTCACCGTGCTCATACCAGAGGCACGCAACGGCTGGCTGTACGGTCGCCATGACAGCAGTCTGCGGTGAGATCAAAACGTTCCCGCCCACACCCAAACATATTAAGTGACCCTTATTAGTCCCACAACGGGGAAATTTCACCTCCGCATTTTGACCCATCTGTGCAGTGAAACACCACATACACACTAGTGAACACAAACACTAGGGGGCAGTGAGCACACTTGCCCAGAGCGGTGGGCAGCCCTACTCACACCGGCCGGGGAGCAGTTGGGGGTTAGGTGCCTTGCTCAAGGGCACTTTAGTCATGTACTATCGGCTCAGGGGATCAAGCCCGCGACCTTCCGGTCACAAGGCTGGTTCCTTAACCTCCAGCCCATGACTGTCCCTGGTATATAAAACAATAACAGTGCTGTCTGGTCAGTTATGTGTATATGTTTGATTTTTGAGGGTCAGTGGAGGGGTTGCAGTCCCTTATTTTCTCTGTTAAAAGTGGCAGTCCTACTCCTGATTCCATTACACATTTTTGTGTTTTCCTTCATGTAGCACACCTGATTCAACTTGTTAAAGCTGCACTATGTAAGATTTTTTTGTCAAAACTGAAAAAAGTAGCATTACTGAGTCAAAACAGGCTAAAATATATTGTTTGAGACGCCCTTTAAAGCCTGAAATAACAGTTTTTCAGACCACATCATACGTCTTTACGTATTAATGTTACAATAACAGACTGTAGTCCATCTATTTCTCTGCATACTTTGTTAGCCCCCTTTTACCCTGTTCTTCAGTGGTCAGGACCCCCATGGACCCTCACAGAGCAGGTACTATTCGGGTGGTGGATCATTCTCAGCACTGCAGTAACACTGACATGGTGGTGGTGTGTTAGTGTTGCGCTGGTCTGAGTGGATCAGACACAGCAGTGCTGCTGGAGTTTTTAAGCACCTAAGTGTCACTGCTGGACTGAGAATAGTCCACCAACCAAAAATATCCAGCCAACAGCGTCCTGTGGGCAGCGTCCTGTGACCACTGATGAAGGACTAGAGGATGACCAACACAAACTGTGCAGCAGCAGATGAGCTATCGTCTCTGACTTTACATCTACAAGGTGGACTGACAAGGTAGGAGTGTCTAATAGAGTGGACAGTGGGTGGACACAGTGTTTATAAACTCCAGCAGCACTGCTGTGTCTGATCCACTCAGACCAGCACAACACACACTAACACACCACCACCACGTCAGTGTTACTGCAGTGCTGAGAATGATCCACCACGCAAATAGTACCTGCTCTGTGAGGGTCCATTAATTCGCTGTTGTGTGCATCACTAACAAAGAGGAAACCCACCAAACTCTTCTTTTAATCATATATTAACATGAATGTGACGTCCTCTTGCAGACAGGGTTGGTTTCCTGCAGCTTACGTTGCACCTCTGGAAGATTTTCCATCATTAAGCTCAAGGTGAGAACCGTCCACGCTATTTCAGACTGCTTGCGTAACAGATATTTTTCTGTGACACACATTTCCGTAAGTGCGTCAACTTAAAACTGACCTTTCGACCTCTCTCGCTGACCTTCTGGCCTTTCAAAGTGGGACGTCACTCCGAAGCCACAGCATGAACAATCTGCTGGAGCCCACCAGCCAATCAGAATCCACTGATATCAAGAGCAGCACTGAAATCCTGCCTCAATCTCTGCCCGTTCGGAGAGCCTCCGCCGATCTCCGTCCAATCTCTCCCCTTCCTGACAGGAAGACGGAGGCTACCTATGAGGTCAAGACCAATCAAAAGAGCTACAGTGAGATCCCGCCCCCGGCTCCGCCCATCCGAAGAGCCTCCGGTGACTTCCGTCCAATCTCGCCTCTCCTCGACAGGAGGGCGGAGTCTCATTTCGAGAGCAAAGTGGAGCCCAAGAGTTACTCTCAGATACCGCCCCCGGCCCCGCCCCTTCCCAAGCCTGCTGACCTTCGTCCGGTCTCCCCCCTCCCTGAGAAAAAGGCGGAGTCTAGCTCTGAGGTAAGTCTGTTGATCCATGTTGAGAATGGATCCGGGAATGATCAAAATTCTGTCAATGCAGTTTCTGCAGTCAGAAGCTTCAAAAGAATTAAGAAATTGTGCAAAATAATAAGGATTATTCTTTGAATATTCTTGCTCTCCTTCCAGGCAGATTGGAATATTTCCAGGCACCATTTTTGCTTTAGTTGCCTGACAGTTTGTTTTCAAGCTCGAGTATGTTCATTGTGGGGCAATCTTTTCTGCCTTATTCTTTTACTTTTTAGTGGAGAAACATTATCCAAAGTAGAATGAAAAGAAAGTAGGGCTGCTTGATTATAGAATCATGATTATTTTGGTCAATATTGAGATCACGATTATTTAACACAATTACTTACTGACTTTGGAAACATCATGCATTTATTGAACACATCTTTTAAAGAGTAGATTCCCTTGAGCTTTAAATATAATTCAACTGAAAAACAAATAAAAAATTAACATTAAGAAGGATGAATAAATAAAATATAAACATATCACTGTTGTCAGAAGAAAACCTCGTATCTTCAAAATGATAACTTTATGGGAAAAGGAAAAAACTTTACTTTTAATGTAAGTCAATAGAGCCAGACCTTTTTTTTCTTTTGGTCCATTCCTAATGAGATTTACACACAATATAAGGAGCAACAAGCAGTTTCAATGTGTCAAAAACTGAAAAACAACAAAAAGTTTTTCTTCCAACAGCAGCGGTTTGTATATTTTATATAACTATACATATACAACTATGCTGTAGTGCGCTTCCACAAGCTACTGAAACCACTAAACATATATAAAAATAATACATAAAACAAATTAGATCTAAATAAATGAGATGAGCTTGGGCTTTTAAGTAGGGGTGAAAGCGCTGTGAAGGAACGAGGTGCACTGGATTTATAACAAGACAAAATGAGAGCATCGTTTTTTTTTCATTAGAAGCCGAAATTGTAATTGAAAATAAAATTCAATTAATTGGCCAGCTCTAACGAAAGTATCCTCTAAGCATTCGGTCATAATATCTAATTTGGTATGTCAGACAAACAGCTGATAGAGGCTGATAGATCAGGGAGGTTTTAATTAGTTTGTAATTAGTGAAAATTTATTCTTATTTGTACCTCGATCACTTATGTTAAGAAAAAGAACTTCCAAAGAAGAGAACTTGTAGCCTGCTTTCTGATTAATGCCTAAAGCATTTGTATAAATGGTTGCTATGCCTCCACCTTGGCCATTTGAACGAGGGGTATGTATTGTTTTAAAATTTGTTTTAAAAAGTTGTTCACACACTTAAATTCATCTTCGTTACCTTGTAAAGTGTAAAATCACTGATTAATTAAAGAATTCATCCATATATCACATTTTATTTAGAAGTATTTGTATAAAAGTAGTTTATTGTACTACATAAGAACATCTCCTCCATTTCCACGAAGAAATGAAAAAGCAACAAACACAATGCAACAGGTTCCATTTTCTCTCACCAGTTCCCTCACAAATTTCACGCTGCTCTGGTGACGTCACCACGCAGCCTCGTTAGGACTGATCCGTTTGTGTGTCCAATTAGTTACTGAGGAGGAGTCTTCATAGGACAATCCTACCGTTGATCCACACTACCTCGGCTTTGGAACGTAGCTTGTGTGCTCGTCCACCTAATATATATAAAGGAGGCAGATTTACGAATCAGTCAACAAGCAACTCAACTGACTCTAGTCCCCATCTCTGGTTGATGCATTCATACCCAGACTGTGATATCTAACCATACAGCAGGTCACAGTAGATTTGAAGCATCATCGCATCTCTAGTGTCTGATGTACTCATTCTTATTCTTCAGAGAGTGAACCCTCAAGGACAGCTCCCAGAGCACCCTCTCTTTCCCAGGTAAGCTGCAAGTCCTGTTGCATGCACATTGAATTTCCATAGCTATTTGCATGTATGTTGGTTTACCTGTTGTCTCTTGCTGTGTTTCAGGGGATCAAATCCTTTCGCCACGGTGAAACTCCGGCCCACAGTGACCAACGACAGATCAGCACCAAGAATCCACTGACCATTACCAAAGCAGCACACATGAGCTGTCATTGCTTTTGGACAATATGAGTATAAACACCTGAAGAGGACTTACAAATATTCAACAGATGTGAATTTCTGGAACTGCTTGGGTTTGTTTTGGTCAGAATTCTCCAAATTCTTAAGTTCCAGTTGTACCGGATATATCTGTCATACAACCATCACACTCGGATGCCGGCTTGGCTTGGGCGTTTTGTTACCGTTGGAAACCCTTTAGAATGATCATGCCCATTTGTTTGTCTTGTCACTTCTATTCCCGGACATTTGGAAGCCCATCTGCCCACTTTGGAACGTCGGGGTTTGTTGGCGTTTCTTTGGATCGGTCTGGAAGGACCGTCCAACTGTGAAAGCTGCTCAGTTACAGCCGATAAACTCTGTGTGCGTGTGTGTTTTGTGAGAGCTGTGACTGTTTGCAATCAAGAATGTTTTCTAGAGTGTTTAGTGTGTCAAAAGTTTGGGAACATCTTGTTGTTTTAATTTTTGTTTGAGATTTTCACAGGTACTTTTAAGGAAAAACGGCTGCAAAAGATCCGAATTTTTTTCACCCTAGTAGTTCATGTGGCTGGTCATATTGCACACAATTCATCATATCATTTAAAAACAAAATTATTGTTTTCCCATAATCTTCTGTTAGGCCTGCGCTGAAAACAGACAAACAACAAAGTCCTTTTTTTCAGAAAAACGTGCGGCAAATAACCGTGGTAAAGAGTTAAACCTGGTTGTGTTGGTAGTTTTTTCTCTTTGCTTTGTCTTTTATATTTATTTGACAATCTTGAAGCTCATACGTAATCACCGTGTTCGCTTCCACGTCCACGCCAGAGTTAGGGACCGTCTAAAAATGACAATAAGAAAAAGTTTTGCTGTTATTAATATTATTCTCACTGCTGATGTGTCGAGAAGTATTATCATATTATTACTGCTACTACTGCTATCAATACTACTACCGCTATTAATAATAAAAGCTACCTTTCCTGGTAATTTTGTGACAGTTCCTAACTCTGAAGCAGATGTGGAAGCGTGCAAGATGGAGCTTAATATTTGTGAAATATAAGATTGTCATAAAATCACAGTTCAACAAAAGTTGTTGTAATTTGTCACTTTAAATTTGGCCACGAAACTAATTAAACTAGTACTAAACTAGTAATAAAGAGCTTAGCCTGATTGTACAAAAGCCGAGGAATGACTGTTTTTCCTTTTGTCTCTTGTTTTGTAGGCATGATGTCATGATATTTGCCTGCAGCACTGAGCGCATTCAACCAGAGCAGCTCAACAGCTGCATTTCTAGAACAATTTCATCTATTCATGGTGCAATAAATGAGGTATTAACGTAGGAAATCTCATCACCCAGTGTGTTGAAAAGTTCAGTCGTATTCACACGTGGGAATTCTTGCTATGATTTGCATGAAATAAATCAATAAATGAGCAACTTTTTTTTTCCAAATGGAAAAACTCGGGGCTGTTACAACTTAACTTGGTTAACTGTCACCAGACATCGATTCCTTACAAAAACGTAGGGAATTTTGCCCCTCCACTGAAACATTTTTTTGATTTTTGATTATGGGAAAACTGATACTTGCCAATAATACAGTCAAATGCAGAAGTTTAGGCACCCCTGGTAAACGATATGAAAGTGAGTAAACATATTCTCTACAGGGAACACACTTTTGCATATTTTAATGCACAGTTACTGTTGATTTACTAAATTTAACATATTGGGAAAGAGTATTGGCACATTTTATATTTCATATTTTTTTCCCCAATACGTTAAACAAATAAATAGAAATTGTCCCCAAACTTTTGATGGGTATTTTAATTTTGAATTTGCTTTTAGATGAAGAAAATGTCAGCATCCTTTTAAATCTCTTTCCTGTTGCTGTGCAGTGAATCAGTCACAAAGTCGGGTGCTGAATGTTCTCCTCTGAACGTGTTGAAGCACGTGATCATCCTGTGTGACCTGTAGCTCTGAAAGAGGCCTTCTAACTTTGGAGAATGTGTGTATGTGTGGGGGGGGGGCGGAGTCTAGAACAAATGTTTGCATACACTATATGTCCAAAAGTATCTAGACACCCCTCCTAATTTGTCAGTTCAGCTGCTTTAAAGTGCATCCATTGCTGATACTGGTGTCCAGTTATGCACACAGCTTGTATAATCTCAAAAGGACGGGATACTCTGGAGCAGTGAGTCTATGGTCATCATGCCCAATGCCAAGCATGGGATGGAGGGGTATAAAGTCCCCCCAGCATTGGGCTGTGGAACAGTGGAACTGCATTCTCTGGAATGACAGAGCTCCATCCAATGCCTTTGGGATCGTCCAGCGTCAGTGCCTGACCTCACTAATGCTCTTGTGGCTGAATGCAGTCAAATTCCCTATTAATACCCTTAATTTCAGAAAAAAACAAGCAGGTGTCTACAAATGTTTAGACATATAGTGTATATACATTCCATATTAGTGTAAAGTATGATGAAAATGTATTATATACTCGACTTTCTCACTGCTACAATGGTATCTGACTGAGTGACCTGGCAGAAAACAATAATAAACTAATGCAATATAACTGTATTTTACAGCTTCTAACTTCTTACTGTCCATTTTATTAGAAACCCCTGTCTTGTAGCTTTACCTTTCTTGTGTTGATGCAGTTTTTTGTTAGCCACCTAGCTTTTATCAGTGGTCATTTTTTGACCACAGACCAACTCTGGGCTGGAAAGTTTTGGAAGGTGGTCCATCGCTCAACCTAGCAGTGACACTGATGTGTGTAAAAACCCCAGCAACATCGTTGTTGTCCGATACACTCTTATGAACTGCCATGCCACTGCCATTTTGTGGTCACTGCTGTGCTGATGGACCGCCACTCAAATAATATCAGGACAGCGGCAGTTCTGTGATCAGAAACTGACCAGTTGATAAATTGTACATTATACCAGATGGGCTACAGTCTGTAATTGTACTCCTGTGTAGTAGAGTTTCAGTTCCCTTCACCATTTATTTATTTAATTTCCAGTCAAAACAGTCATTGCATACAGATTATTCACTTTTCAGGATTAGATAATATAAGATAATCTCCAGGAAGGAAAATGAGTGTGATTGTGATTAAAAGCTACAGAGAAAATGGGACTCCTAACAACCACCTGGAAGACCCTGTAGACACCAAAGAAGCCTGTCGAGAAGGCTCACTGAGAAAAGGAGACAGACACATCAAACAAAGAAGCTGCTGGTGTTCTCAGAACAATGGACTGACCACCCCAGAGTCCAGACCTCAACATCACTAAATGTGTTTGGGATACCTGGATTGTGCAACCAACTTCTAAGACTGAACTTTGGAGGTGTGGAAAAAAGATTCCTGTTAGTAAATGAATGACTTATGCTTAATAGCTGTTTTGACTGGAAATGAATGAAGGATGGTCTCTGACGTTTTCACAGAACTGTATAAGGTAGATGGCCAGTGAGTGGACATTGTTACAATGCATTAAACCTTAAACTAATAATGATCTCTTAAAATAAAACAAGTGTGCAGGCTTGGTACTCAAGGCATGATTTCACTTTATTTCTCTCTTGAATCGTATTTTCTCTCAGCTTGTCTTCATTCTTTTATCTTTTTTTGCGTTCGCCAGCTCTATCTGGAGCAAGGAGGGAGAAGAATGGGAGGAGAAGGAGGGATGTGTTTTCAAGAGTGAGAAAGAGAATGACTGAAAGAAGGAGAGAGTTGTGGATTCCCCAGCACAAAAAAGCAATATATTGAAAACACGTTACAATATATTCTGTTCATATGTTGGAATATATTGACAGCATATAACAACATATTTCATTTTCTCAGGGGACTTAATGAGTCACGGAGGAGATGTGAGGCGGCAGCTCAGATAAAACTGGTCACGTGAGCACAGAGTTTGTATAAAAAAGAAGTAAATAAATAGAGGTGCGGATGAGGTTCCTGCCCGTGGCTTATGGATGTGGGGGGTCAGTTTGAGGTGGGTTGGGGTGGATTTTGGGTGGTCTGGAGAGGCATGCAGTGCTGTGCGTCAGCCTGCAGGTGTGTACAGAGGAGAGAAGAGGTTGTCGGGTTGCCAGGAGTGTTGCTTTTTACTCATGGACTATGGCTTCAAACTCTGAAAGAGAGAGAATTAATTACAGTGTTAGAGAAACTTAATCAGATTCAATATATCGCTGTTGTTAGAAGAAAACCTTGTATCTCTAAAATGGTACCTTTACAGGAGAAGGAAAAAACCTACTTTAAGTCAATGTAAGTCAATGGAGCCAAAGTTTTTTCCTAGTCGTTTTGGGACATTTCTTTTGGTCTGTTCTTCATGAAATTTACACACAATGTAAAGGGCAACAGGTGTTTTCAAATTATGTCAAAAACTGAAAAAACGACAAAACTGGGGATACAAGGTTTTCTTCTGACAGCAACAATATACAGCATAGAAAACCTCTTCTTCTTGGTGTTGTTGTGTTAAAATAAGCATGGGTGTCCCTGAAAAAGACAGCATCTAAAAGGCAGCAAGTTACCCACTAATAACCCCCCATACCAGGACAGATGCTGGCATTTTACGCTGGTAACAATCTGGATAGTCAGTTTCTTCTTTGACCTGGAGAACACAACGTCCATTATTTTTATACACAATCTAAAAGTTTGACCCGTTAGACCATAATACACTTTTCCACTGTGCATCTGTCCATTTCAGACGAGCTCAAGCCCAGAGAAGTCGGCGGCGTTTCTGGACCTTGTTGACATATAACTTTGACTGCGCAAAGTACAGTCTTCATTTGTGGATGCAGCGAAGTACGGTGCTCACTGACAAACAATTTGTCATGCCCATGCAATATCCATCACAGAAGCATACTGTTTTTAATGCAGTCAGCTCAAAAGTCACGGCTATTTAATTGTGGTTTTTGGCCTTGTCTTTTACAAAGAGAGATTTTTCTGCATTTCCTAACTTTTTAATAATATTTAAATTATGCACATGCGTAGAGAACCACTTAGTGTAGACGTTACCTTGACAACGAGCATCACGTGAGTCCAGTCAGAGTGAGATGAGCAGCAGTGAGCAGTGTTTGTGTTTTTAATTGCTTTAAAATGATGTCAGACTCAGGAAAATGTCCTTCACATGTCCTTATTAAAGAAGGCCGAGAGGAAGACGTCGTGTTCTGAGACACGTAAGCTGGACGTCCGTCCCACCGCCGTCTTTTAAAGATCAGAGCATAAACTTCGTCTCCTCTGCAGACCAGTTTCTGCTCCGCCATGTTGAACAGTATAAACTTTCACTATGACGTGACGCACATGATCAGAATGGACTAAAACTTTCCGATAGGGAATGTAATCAGATACAGGCGTTTACACAGATGTTATTCTTCTATTTAACGGATTATTTACAGGATCAATCAATTGGATAGAAACTATATTCTGAATGGCCTCAATCGGACTAGACTATTCCGATTGTGATGTATACATGGACATATCTTTTGTTAAAAACTCTAGATTAACACTAACACTAAGATTAATCTGTTGTAAATTCGAACATTCATGCTAGCTAAATGAACAGTTTAGCTACAAAGGCAGTTTGTAGAGCTATGACTAGCTAAAATAACTTAGCTGAGTAACAAGGGTTAGCTAAACTACTTGATTCACCTCTGTTAACCAGCCAGCTACCTGGCCTGACCTTAACACCAACTTACACTAGATGAATCTACTAACAAGAGCTCACTAAACTACCCGATTCTCCTCTGTTTACTTTTTTGGGTGGGTAGATTTAATGTTGGTGATGATTGATTTTTAGCCAACTTTCAATTATTAGTATCAAATTTCACATTTTAGTTTGTTTTCCACTTTGTTTCAACATGATACCCAACATCTTCTAGAGATTCTGGCAGTGCATGTTGGATATTCAGCTTTGCACTTATATATAAAATACTACTCATTTAAAAAAAAGCAGAATTTGGTGTTTAGTACGCGGTCGGGACACAGCAATAGTTTATAACAGAAATCCAAACACAAATGCTGCATCATGTCTGTTGAGGTTGCATTAAAACTGCTGCGTTTGTACAGGTTAAGTTTGTGTCTGTTATGTCTTGTTGCTAGTTTTCTGTCTGGCCGTGTGTCTCAATGTCTCTCACCATCGATGCCAATCTTCCCGTCCCCATCCTTGTCAGCAGCGGCCAGGAATGCTTTGGTCTCCTGGTCGGTCAGATCCCTGCCATCCTTGGAAAAGCCTTTCAGCACAAACCTGACAAAGATACGACGGAATTCAGGAGACCACATTCTAAACGATGAAGATGAGTCCCTCAAACCAATGCATTACATCAAATTTCACAATTTATTTAAATCTAAACAGTGTTACAGTATGTAGTACTGTTCATTAGAGGTGCGGGAAAAAGTCGTTTCTTAGATGCATCGCGATGCAGACGTGGACGATTCTGAATCGATTCACAAACGTCAAAAATCGATTTTCTAAATATTTAATTTATAACGTAATGTTGACGGAACGCAAAGGGCGGAACTTGGAAGTGGGTGAGTGCAGCGCCCGGACAGTCTGTGGCGGCACATAACAAAAAACACAACTGGACGAGCGAGAAATCCGACCGGCTCTCTCTGCTTTAAAACCAGGTTAGGTCAGGCGTCACAACCCAAATGATAAGAAGAGCCATTTTGTCCTTTCAGCAAAAATCAAACCAGCTTGGGAGCCGCAACATTTAATGTCCAGTATGTGATAATGTGGTAGTTTAGGCTAAAAAATATAAACGAAAACGCGGACTTACTCTACTCTGCTTTAAGCTTTAGCTTTAGCCGCTTTTCTTCCAACTCCGCCAGAAAACTTTTCCTCAAAAGTTGAAGAGTTTCTTGTAAAATGTCTCAGTTTTCGGCTGTTGTACGAGGCTGAAGTCGCTTCTCATTCGCCAGCTTCTTGCTGAACTTTCCCGTTCCACCTTAAATTCTGACTGAGGCGGCACGATTTAAGGTGGAACGGGAAAATTAGGGAAGCGACTTCATCTTCGCAGCTTCGCATCGTTTAGTTAGTGTTCGACAGCATCTCGTTGCAGATTTGACGTACCAAGAAACCAACTGCGCTGCTTATAAATGCGAATAAGTCCATTCGTCTCCAAATGTTCGTCTGTCTTTCTCTTTTCCTTTTTCGTTCGCTACCAGCTCGACGAAACCTCGTTGCTAGGTGACCTGCAGTCTTTCGCAGTTCACTTGCCTCATCACTTCCATTTGTTTTATTAATAAAAGATATTGGAAGTAAATGCATTATGGATCATTACAGATACTTTGTTTTAAAACTACAAAGTCCTCAGACAGTAAGAAAATAGAAATCATGTATAGAAAAAAAAATGCATCGAGATGCATCGATAATCGTTTTATAATCGCATCGCAGCCTCTGAATCAGAATCGAATCGAATCGTGAGATGCCTAGAGATTCCCACCCCTACTATTCATACGGGATTAGTTTAGGTGGAGTAATGTCATTTTACCACAGGACATCTGTAATATTTATGCCCAGAATAAGAAATCTTGGTATGAATTACATTAATGAGAGTGGATACTTGTCGGCATCACACAAAAAAGTTCCACATGGCAATGAAAACATGACCAAACATTAAATTTGTTTACCCTTTCATATTTTACTTACAATAATACTTTATTCAGTGCAAAAATAAATACTCTTAACTAGGTGAAGGAAATTTTACACACCATACTCAATATTTCTTGCACATTACATGGTCAAAAGTATGACCATCCCTCTAATTATTGAGTTGACATCCCTCTAATTATTTTTAGTTCAGGTGTTTTAAATATATATATATATATATATATATATATATATATATATATATATATATATATATATATATATGGGCGACATCTGAGACTTATGTTGAGGGGCAAGCTATGGTACTTTGGTGCCAAATGTTTCAAATAAAATAATAAAATCCACAAGCAAAATATTACATATCAAAATGTCCAAAATATGCTGCAAATACAAATAATGAGATAATAAGACTTCACTTTTCAAAAAGATTACTACTCATTTTCACACATTCTCATATTTTTTGCCTCTGAAATCCTTCTTTTGTTTTTGACTTTTGGCACTTTTTGACAGGGGGTGGGGCTTAGAAGAGGGCATTCACCTGCACTCTTTATTGGTCAACTGATTTGGAGTGACAGGTCTTCTAAACACATAGCCACTCCTCATGAACCGCCTCCAGCATGGCGGTTGTATTGGCATATCTGACATTAGGAGCAATGATTATTGTTTTCCTTTTAAATTATTAATGTTACACAAATGTCCATGTTTCATTCAGCAGTAGCGTCAAACCCAGGATGAATCCCAAACGTCTCCGTACCCCCTAAATAGTCTGCTGAGTAACGTTAAGTTTAGAAATTCTAGCTTCTGCTGTCAAATACTGCACTGCTTGTGGAGTATGAGTATGAAAGGCCCCTTTTACCCTGTTCTTCAGTGGTCAGGACCCCCCGTGGACCCTCACAGAGCAGGTACTATTTGGGTGGTGGATCATTCTCAGCACTGCAGTAACACTGACGTGGTGGTGGTGTGTTAGTGTGTGTTGTGATGGTACGAGTGGATCAGACACAACAGTGCTGCTGGAGTTTTTAAACACTGTGTCCACTCACTGTCCACTCTATTAGACACTCCTACCTTGTCAGTCCACCTTGTAGATGTAAAGTCAGAGACGATAGCTCATCTGCTGCTGCACAGTTTGTGTTGGTCATCCTCTAGTCCTTCATCAGTGGTCACAGGACGCTGCCCACAGGACGCTGTTGGCTGGATATTTTTGGTTGGTGGACTATTCTCAGTCCAGCAGTGACGCTGAGGTGTTTAAAAACTCCAGCAGCACTGCTGTGTCTGATCCACTCGTACCAGCACAACACACACTAACACACCACCACATCAGTGTTGCTGCAGTGCTGAGAATGATCCACCTCCCAAATAGTACCTGCTCTGTGAGGGTCCACGGGGGTCCTGACCACTGAAGAACAGGGTAAAAGGGGGCTAACAAAGTATGCAGAGAAACAGATGGACTACAGTCTGTAACTGTAGAACTACAAAGTGCACCTATATAGTAAGTGGAGCTGATAAAATGGACAATGAACATAGAAACAAGGAGGTGGTCAGAATGTTATGCCTGATCAGTGTATATACATATACACACACATACACACACAGTTGTATGGAAAGGTTTGGGCGCCTCTGGTCAAATGACTTGTTTTGTTGATTTTTAAATGAAAAGTTTATTTGTGCATTTTAATGCACAATTTCTGTTTTTTAGCCTAATTTAACATATTGGCGAATAATACAACAGAAATGTGTTTTTCTCTAATATGCTAACTCATCAAATAAATGGAAATTATGCACAAAACACAAGTGTGTTCTCTGTAGAGAAAGTGTTCATTTAATTAGTAAATCAAAAAACATGTCATTTGACCTGCGGGGTGTTCAAACCTCAAACACGTCTTTTTCTGTGAATTGTGGGGACATTACATAGACTTTCACTTCCATTCACTTCCTGGAGTCTTAGCCAAACCTATATAAACCATAAATGGTACTAGCCTAACCCTAACCCTTGGCCTAACTCTAACCCTAACGCTAATCTGAAAATAGGTCTTCACATAAAATTTAATGATTAAATTTAATGAATTTAATGAAAATTTTATGATTTGTATTGTAGGGACCCACTTGTGGTCCCCACAACATGAGCGTATAAACAGGTTTTGGTCCCCATAGCGTAGTAGAAACCTGGTACACACACATTATCCGTTCGAATATATTGTCTAGATACATTAGAATGTATGATGTTATGAACTATAATGCATTTAGCAATGAAACCCTTCATGAATATGTGTATATGTATACGTATGTACATATCGTTACTGTCAGGACGAAATCTTGTTTTTCACTTTTTACCTAAATTTGCAATCTCTGTCTGAGCTTTACATTGTATCAGAATTTCATGATGAATGGACCAATAGAAATGGTCCAAAGTGCCCTGGAATAAATCATTTCTCCATTGACTTCCATTAAAAGCTACGGATGTTCTCTCTTTTTTTGTAAAATTAATTTATAAGATAAAAGAGAAATTAATTTTTAGAGATACAAGGTTTTTTCCAGCAGCATTGATCTATTTGTATATTATAAAATGGATAGTTACAGTTCTAAAATCTGATTGGCTGAGCTGTGTTTGAAGCCGTTTTTAAATCCACAATAAACACACACCTATGACCGCCTCACAACAACTGAATGGATTAATCTTTGACTCACCGAGTCACTGATGGAGTTACTGATGGAGCAAGAACCTGTTTTTGTTTAAACTGAGGGGCTGGCAACTTATGTTCTTAACTAGAACTAGGCTGGTCAGCTAGCCAACGGGATAAAAGAGCCAACAGCCTAAACAACTCCATCATTAATATCATAGGCTTGAATTAAAGTGTTTACGGTATGATTTGTGTCAATTTCGTATCAGTTTTAGCCAAATAGTGCATCATTTATCGAGTGTGGATGTGTCTGACTCTCAAATGACCATTTCTTAGCTATGTTTGCACTGTTAGGCTGCAGGATCCAGTATTTAAGTCCCTATGTAGTGCACTATGTAGGGAGCAGGAAGCCATTTGAGATTCAGCCCCAGCTTGAGAAGAGGGCGCCTGGATTGGTCCTAAATAAGACTCGTGGTGGTAATTTGGTGATCAAAAAGTACTTATAGAGCGAAAGTTTATGCATCAAACAGTGCTGCGTTATCATATGTTCATTGTTTTACAACAAAAAGTAAAAAAAAGACCAAACATTCCTCCAAACCTCCTCATTCAGGTCTATGTTACTGTACTCTACCGTACGGTACCGTTACCGTACTCTACCGTACTCTAAAGGAACTAAATTTCTTGGTGGAATACTTGTTTATGTCGATTATTATTAATAACAACTTAAATTATTTTCAAAAAAATTGTGAATTTTATCATATTTTATGTTGTTCGCTGCATGCCGTGCCTAACAACACCCTTCCCCGTGATCAAATCGCAGTAATGCACGGCCTCTCAAGGCTTATCTTTATTATCTACCACCAGACTGGTTTTATACTGATTCCAAACATTTAAACAGCAGTGTAACCAGAAAGTAGCAGCATTAAATTTTGAGTTTCTGAAGAAGCCAAACTTTTCACAGACTTTGAAAGATGTCTGTTTTTTTGGTAGCTGTCGGTTCTTTCTGTCCAATCTGGCAACCCCATGCTGGGGTCAGTGTCAGATGGCTGTTCATGCAGTGATGAAGAATAATGGGGAAAACAGCCCCTCCCTTTTCTCTCTCTCTGATTTACGCTGCAGTCTGTCACTGGAGTGTGTGTGTGTGTGTGTGTGTGTGTGTGTGTGTGTGTGTGTGTGTGTGTGTGTGCTGGCAGGAGGCAGTAACATAATAAAGCAGGAATGAGACAGCAGCTCTAAAAACTAGCCAGCCGTCACTGGAATAAGATACAGCCCTGACACCTGCACACAGTGCGTGTGTATTTGTGTGTGTGTGTCTCACTTGAGCTCCTCTTCCTCGATGAAGCCGCTGGCGTCGACGTCCAGGACTTTAAAGACCTTTTTGACGTTCTCTGCAGACATGGCCTTCAAGCCCACCATCTCAAAGAACTTCTTATGGTCAAACGAGTCGGCGGCTAAACGCAGACAGATCAGAAACATATTACTGACATGAAAATCCAGTTTAGTTTCATGGCTTCATACCTTACAGGGGCTGTCAGCTTATTTCCTTAATCCGGTTCTTTGCGGTTAGCTACTGTGTCCTGTGTCGGTTACTAGACCAGATGTCTTTAAATCCAGACCTTAAATCCAGTGTCCAGTCCTGGACTTTGTAATCACTGGGGATCCGTTTTAATACCTTTTTAACATGCTTTTTTTTACATGACCCTTTTTTTAGCTAGCCATGCAAACCCTGTAATGCAATTTCTTGAGAATTTTGAATATATTGCACCTAAATTTGTGAATAGTTGCTTTGTCTAGCTGTCGGCTTTAGTTTAGAACCGTATTGCATCGCCTTGCTGTTAGCCATATAGCCTTTAGCATGCTAACTAGCAAGCTAGCAGGGTAAAGGGTGAAGTGATGAAGCTGTATCAGTGGTTGTGTATAATAGATGGAGTTGTTTGCAACCTAAAGCTCAGCAAATTGAATGTTTTGCTTTTGAACATTTTGTGTTTTATAGTATTTTATTGTTGGGGGTTTGGAATTCCAAAGGCCGAGTGGAGGAGGGCTTGTTAAAAGTGGTATTGAAACAGTAGCTGGACACTTACATCATCAGTTCAGTTAACTATCAGTGATTACAACATCCAGGACTGGATTCAACATCTAGACTCAAAGACCACAATGTTGGTCATTTTGACTAAGGGACTGTTTTTGTGTTTCTTTTGTTGGGTTTGAATTGGGCAGGACGAAGTGTATTTACAGTTTTTTTGCTCAAATTAAAATTATCATCCATTAATGATACTTTTGTGACCCCTTGCCTCAAACCTGCCCCCCACAAACTAAAGTCTAAAGTTCCTGACTGACTCGCAGTATTAGCTAGTTAGCATTTTGAGGATTTAATAAGCCACCTGATGTAATTTCCATTCCTTTATTCCTTATTTCTTTAATATTAGTTGAAATAATTCACAATTAACAATTTAATTGTCTTTTTTGTTCATTGTATGCTAAATGTATAAGCCTATAGTGGCCAAAATAGCTGATTAGCAATCTTGCTTACTAGCTTCCAACTGTCAACATAAACAGCTTGAGCTCAAATAAACCCTCATTCACTGCTGGTTTTATAGCATCACTCCCAACTTTAATTCTCACAAGACTCATAATGTATCTTAATAAATGTGTTTTCTGCTTTTTTTTTTTTTTATAGTTTTTGCCTCAACCCAACCGATGATTTGTCACATGTAACCTAACTACTATACTTGAGCAAATTAGATTTTTTGCTTGATAATTGCGTGATGTTAGATTTCTTCCTATATTTTGCATTGTACTCTATTGTACTTTCTTCAAGTTACTAATTTTGCTTGATCAAAAATGCAAAGAATAAACCTTGGAATGCTTCCAGGGCCTTCTTGATGTCCTCGTCTTTCAGTAGTTCTTGCATTGCCATCTTGGCTGCTAGGAAAGAGCCAGAAAGAGAAATCAGGAATTAGTGCAAAAACTTTTTTTGAACGATTTAAAGTAGATGAAAACACTGGTGCAGATATATGTCAGATATATGTCAGACAGAATTTTGTCAGGCTGCTGTTGCATGCGGTCAGATTTCATTGGGTTACAGAATTTTATCAGATTACATCTTGGGGTAAAATTTTGCATGCGGTCAGATTTTATTGGGTTACAGAATTTTATCAGATTACAGCTTGGGGTAAAATTTTGCATGCGGTCAGATTTTATTGGGTTACAGAATTTTATCAGATTACAGCTTGGGGTAAAATTTTGTTGGGCTCCAGTCGGGCTCTGACTGAATTTTGTTGGGTTACAGTCAGATTTGGTTGGAATTGCGCCAGGCTGCAGTTGAGAATGGACAGATTTTGACAGGTTACCATTTGATCGGGGCAGAATTTTGACAGATTATAGCTTGATTGGGGTAGAATTTTGCTGGGCTACAGTCAGTTCCCAGACTGGGGGTCAGTTTTGCTCTGATTCTTGTAAATTTCAGGCCTGATGAAAGCCCTACAGTGTGTGTGCAATGCAGGGGCCTAGTCATCTTCTTGCTCTTATATTTAACTCTGTCATATACCACAGCCGTTTTTAGAGCAGACACCCTATGCTCCTTTACATACATAAACAGTCCCTCAGTATGTGTTGATGATAGGGAGGTGGTGAGTACACAGTTTTGCTTGGCAGTAGATTATGTTCTCACAGCAGTAATCCAGCACTAAGATGACAGTTTGACTCCCTTGTACTCACACATGGTGCCTCACAGCACGACCCATAAAGCTGTTCTGAAAAGTTGTCAGAGCAATAAAATTAGTATTAAGACCCTGTGAGCACAGGGCATGTGGTTGCTTGTATGTGCAAAATGATCAGCATGCTAACCCTGTAGTGCGGGTGGATATTTTTGGATTATAGGTGAGGAAAGTGTGTGATGATTTAGATATGGGTCATTCTACAGAAATGTCCATTTTTGTGTCCCTAGCGTTTACAGATATATTGCACTTCAAAAACATGTTAGGGTTACAATTTATTTATATTTTAAAATAAAACAATGTTATTTTAACAATTACACCTTCTTAAGTCTCAATTCAGTAATATTGGGTTTTAAATCATTCATATAGAATTCCAAGCACCACAGAAGAGCTCGTCCTTACGTAAACAAAAGCATATTTAATTGTCATCTACTTAAGTATCTTTTAAAGCAGTTACTTTTAAAGTATGCATTAAAAGTATGTATAATGTAGAGAATATTAAAAGTATATATATATATATATATATATATATATTATTCATTATAGAAATACATCTAAAATAAACTACACATACTGAAGCTTACTTAAACAAAAGCATCAATTGTCATCTACTTAAGTATATTTTAAAGCAGTTACTTTTAAAGTATGCTTTAGTACATTTTTGTTGTAATAGAACTCAAACTAACTAGCATTCAAATATGGTTATCAGTATATGGAAGGGTTTACATTTAAAATGTAGTTCATGTCTAGTTAAATTAGTGTCTTAATTGCTTAAGTTATTCTTAATTTTATTTTATAAAAGTACACTTAAATACGTTTTATAGGTTACATGTATTTAAGTGTTTTTATTCATAATGAAATACAACTTAAAATGCATTTAAGTGTATTTTAGATACAGTATAACTCAGTAAGTAGCACTAAGGCCTATCAGTACTTAACTGCAACTACGCGCATCAATATAAATCTACTTAAGTGCAGCTTAAAAGCACTTTAACACAACTAAATTTGCATTTGACACATATTTAATCATAGCTTTATAACTATGTAAATGTACTTAGATTGTCATTAGTTCCCACATAATACAGTTAGTATGTTTTTAAGTATATTTAAAGTTAAAAAATAAACTACACATACTGAAGCTTACTTAAACAAAAGCATATTTAATTGTTATCTACTCAAGTATATTTTAAAGCAATTACTTTTAAAGTATGCTTTAGTACATTTTAGTTGTAATAGATCTCAAACTAACTAGCAATCAAATATGGTTATCAGTGTATGGAAGAGTTTACATTTAAAATATAGTTCATGTCTAGTTTAAGTAGTGTCTTAATTGCTTAAGTTATTCTTAATTTTATTTTATAAAAGTACACTTTAATACATGTTTTATTGGTTGAATGTGTTTGAGTGTATTTAGTTGCAGTATAACTAAATACACCCAGTACTTAAGTGCAACTATGTGCATCAGTATAAATCTACTTAAGTGCAACTTAAAAGCACCTAAAAGCACAACTAAATTTGCTTTTGACACATATTTAATCATAGCTTTATTGCAATATAAATACACTTAAGTTGCCATAAGTTCTTAAATAAAAATACAGTTAGCATGTATTACAGTAAAGTATAAACATGAAAAGTATAATAAAAAGTGCACTTAAGTGCCTTTTTCTTTCACAAGGGAATGTATAGGGTTGGGAGTGTTGCAAAGCCCGACGGTCTTTAAAGTCCAGTATGTAGGCAGTGTATTGTCGGTTACTATGAAACAATAACTAGATCCCTGTCTGAGATGGCGGTCACTGTCCAGCAGTGCGACTGGCCATGTTGGATTCCCGTCCCATCCATCACTGTCATCTCAAAGGCGACCGCAACCGACCACTAAGTGCCGGTGAGATCATTTACTCTCAGAACTCAAAAGAGAGAGAGAAAAGCTTCTGCTACTTCACTGTGAGACTCCACCGGAAAAACTACAGGAGTTTCACACCCACAGATATGAGCGGCGCCTGGATATCGCACAGGAGCCGGACTGACAGCTGGGTGGGTGTGAGGGGCTCGGGGGGTTGTGTAGGGTCCCTGGGAGGGTATCGGAGCGCTTGCACCACCACTTGAAATGTCACCTCGCTTATAGCCAGTGATCTCACACATACGTGCAACTAAGATTACAGCCGTATAGAGTTTCTCAAAGGTGAGGACGTATTCTTCAGAGAGCGCTTTTCTGGACGCCACAACACACACACACACACACACACACACACTGATATCTTATACCACTACCAACAGTCGTATGCTAAGGTTTGGTCAAATGACACATTTTGTTTATTTTTTAAGTAAAAATAAGTTACACATCCTCGACAGAGAACCTAAAATCTTTCTGTAAATTTCTGAATGCAATTTCTGTTTATTTGCTGAATTTAACATAGTGGAAAAAACTTAAAATATAAAATGTGCCATAACCTTTGCACAGGCCATATTTTACTTTTTTTTTCAATGTTAAATTCAGCCTTTAAACGGAAATTGTACTGTATTCATATGTGCAGAAGTGAGTTTTCTGTAATGTGTAACTTATTTACACTTAGAAAATCAACTAAACATGTAAACTGACATACATACTGTGAGAATATGAATACTGGTTGTGAATCATTTTTCTGAATCAAGGAATCGCTCTATTTGAATCAAAATTTGAAGTTTGGAATTTCTTGTTACATTAATATGTTTTTATTTTATTCAATAATATCTTATACACTGTAGACCGGAATAGTCTAAATTATGTATCGTTTTATATACAATGAATCCTTTTTGTTCAGTCTGAATCAGTTTATATACAAGGGATCTTTTTTATTTAAATCCAAACCAGTTTATAGACCAGGAATCATTCTTATTTTAATCTGAATCACTCTGAATCATTTTATTTACAATGAATCTAAATCAGTTTATGTATAAGAAAGTTTTCTTATTCAAATCTGAACCTTTAAATACAATGAATCTTTCTTACTCATATCTGAATCCGTTTATATACAGAATCTGTCTTACTCTAATCTGAATCACTTTATATGTAAATAATCTTTTTCAAATATGAATCAGTTTATATACAAGGAATCATTCTTAATTTAATCTGAATCACTCTGAATCAGTTTACATACAAGGAAACTCTTCAAATCAAAATCAATTTATATATAAGAAATCTTTCTTCTTCAAATCTGAATCACTTTACATACAAGGAATCTTTCTTTTTCAATTCTGAATCACTTTATATAAAAGGAACATTTCTTATTTAAATCTGAATCCGTTTATATACCAGACTTCTCTCTTATTCAAATCTGAGTCACTTTTAACACAAGAAATCTTTCTTAGTCAAATGTAAATCACTTTGAATCCAAAAAAACTCTTATTATTCAATCCTGAATCGCTTCATGTAAAAAGAATCTTTCTTATTCATACCTGAATCAGTTTATATACAAGAAATCTTTCTTATTCTAATCTGAATCACTGTATATAAAAAGAATATTTTTTAATTAAATCTGAATAGCTCTGAATCACTTTATATAAAAGGAATCTTTCTTATTCAAATCTGAATCACTTTATTTAAAAAGAATATTTCTTAATTAAATCTGAATCGTGCTGAATGACTTTATATGCAAAGAATCTTTCTTTTTCAAATCTGAATCAGTTAATATCCAAGGAAACATACTTATCCAAATCTGAATCACTTTATATACAAGGATTCTGTCTTATTCATATCTGAATCAATTTATATACAAGCAATCTTTATATAAAATTAATCTTTCTTGTTCAAATCTGAACCACTTTATATACAAGGATTCTCTTATTCAAATCTGAATCACTTTTAACACAAGGACTCTTTCTTATTCATATCTGAATCAGTTTTTATACAAGTTCTTTCTTATTCTAATCTGAATCACTTTATATAAAAATATTTTTTCCTAATTAAATCTGAATCGCTCCAAATCACGTTATATGCAAAGACTTTTTTTTTCAAATATGAATCAGTTAATATCCAGGAAACTTTCTTATTCAAATCTGAGTCACTTTATATACAATGAATCTTTCTTATTCAAGCCCAAATCAGCTTGTGTACAGCAAATATTCCAATCACGAAGCACTTTAATCTGTCTCAGTTATGGACACAGTCTTTATCAGAACTGAACTGGGAGTCGTATTCCCAGAGGCGGAATCCTGAGTCCTCCCTTCCCACTC